TTTTAATATATTAATATTAAAATAATATACTAATTTTTGAGAATTACATTGGTCAACGATGTTAATACATCAATCTCTTATCAGGTCTTATCTCTCACCCTTAGGCCGAATTAAGTTATACATCGTTTAGATGTATTAAGGAATTATGTTGTATAAGCTTATACTATACGGTGGTCACACCAAACAACTTAAAATGTGATAACGTATAGTATAAGCTTATACTATCATGTCTTATACGTCACACCAAACAAGCCTAAGTAGAGAAAGTAGAGAGCGTTGAATTGAAACTGAAACAACATTACCTTTAGCATTTGTTGAATACTAGGAAGAAATCAAGGAAAAGCAGAGCTCGGTGGGCCCCACAACACAAAAAGGCAAAAACTGAAATCAAAATATTCAAGGGCAATGTTAGTCTTATGCAACATAAAAATTTTCTTATCTTCTGTCTATACATTGATATTTGTCTAATTTCTTTTTTATTTTTTTTCTTCTATTTTCTATTGGACCTCACTTCAAGTTAAGTGTGTAGGAGACAAAAGAATTTTGCTGTCACATAAAAGTACAATTACCCAATATTCAAATAGTATAATATAATATCTTTGAATTGGAAATAAATAACAAATGTCCATTTTATTATGTTACATATATATATATATCATGATTCCTTCTGTTACAAAAAAAATATTATTTTAAAAATAAAATTTATTTTTATTTTCTTTGTATTTACTATGAAATAATAAAATAATTATTATTTTAATATTTCATTTTTAATTTCTTAAGACATCTATTAATAAGTAAAGAATATAAATAGAATAATAATATTTTGATTTTAATAAAGTTAATTTAATTAAATATAAATTTCTTAATTTAATAAATATATTCTATAACTTTTAATTATTGAATAATTACCTTTGACTACAGTTATTTTGAAATGAACAAAATATTAAAATCATTAAAACGGTCATTCATACAATTCTTTAAATTTTTAATAATTAATTCAATGACATAAATTAACATTAAAGCTGACCAATTTAATGTGCTTTAGATAAGGAGATGATATTATACTATATATTACTTCAAGAGGAATTATTGGTTGGTGAAACATTTAGCATTTAGCAGTTGTACATCATTTAATAACTTCATGCATTTATGACTTTTATTGATTCAACTGTTTTATTATAATTATTTGTTACTTTCTATTATTTGTGTCATTCCAATTAATCCAATATTCTTCTGACCACATTGCTCTAACATTTTTTTTTAATATTTTTTTTACAATCTCTTCCAGGGAAAAATGTTTTTCCCTGTCACATACTGTTATCAAAAATTATTTTCTACAACCCAAGATTATATCATTTTAGTAGTTTTGTTTGTTTCCTTGTTATATTAATTTTATTAAAATACCCTTCATTCATTTTTTCAATTCTCAAAATAATATATTTTTGAAGTTGTTAGAAATAACTTTGTATGAAACAGGAGAATATATATATATATATATATATATATATATATATATATATATAAAGGTAGGATCCTTTGACACCGGTGTCAAATTTGAAGTTTGACACCTTATCTGAGAGTCGTTAGATAAAAAAAGATCAATGATATCACATGCTTACAAATCAGAGTCGTTGATCTTTTTTGATCTAACGACTCTCAGATAAGGTGTCAAACTTCAAATTTGATACCGGTGTCAAAGGATCCTACCTCATATATATATATATGGAAAAATGTTTCTGCAGTTATTGCAGATAAGTTATATGCATTTATTTTCAAAACGACGTCGTTTTGGTATTGAAATCTTAAAAAATTTAAATATAAAGACTATTATAATCCTAAAATAAATTAAAATTACAAAAATATCATGATTTTCGCTCAAAACGACGTCGTATTGGGCTTACTGCAGAAAAAACGAACCCATATATATATATATATGTATTATTTTTACCAAATTCAAACATTTTATATTAAAACTAACATTTCCCATTCTTCATTAATTGTACAAGCAAAGCAACTCATTTATTGAATTTTTTTGCAGCTATTGTAGATATTACTACTATATTCAATGCTGTGATTACTTGATTTCACCTCATTAAATTTCAAAATTAAATTATAGGGTTAAATTTGAATTTGTTTCTCAAATTTCAAAGAAGTGGGAAATCAATTTACATCTGTCTAAATTCAAAAAATTTCAACTACATAATTTTATTCCAAAAAAATCAATCGGTGGATTGAAAGTTTCTACATTTGACACAAATAATAAAAAGGAATTAATAATTATAATAGAACCGCTGGATCAATAAAAGTCACAATTGTATGAAGTTATTAAATGATGTGCAAATGTTAAATGCTTCATAAACCAAGAACTCCTCTTGAAGTAATATATATTATAATATAATCCCCTTATTAAAGCACAATAAATTGGTCAACTTTAAATGATAATTTATGTCATTGAATTAACTATTTAAAAATTAAAGGATGGCATGAGTGACCACTTTTAATGATTTTAATATTTTACAAAATATAAGAAACACTATATATATATATATATATATATATATATATATATATATATATATATATATATAAATAATAAAATGGACATTTTTGGAAATATTTTGTTATACTATTTTTTTTTTTTTTTGAAACAAAGGAAAGGTAAAAGCAAACAACAAAACATAAACTATTTGTTATTTATTTGATGGGAAAAATGTGTCATTTTAATGTAAAGTTGTGTTATTTTAGGAGAGAAAAAGAGATAGATAAAAGAGAAAAGAGAATTGACAAACAAAAATAAAGGTGTGGCCTACCTCTTTGTGAGAAGAGAGTAAGAAGATATAAGTTGTCATCTAAAAGAATAAACACTTTTTCGATTTCAGTTTTTTTGCCTTTTTTGTGTTGTGGGGCCCACTCAGTTCTGCGTTTCCTTCGTTTCTTCCTGGTATTCAACCATTGCTATTAAGTAAGCAACAAAAGCTTACGTTTTTCAGTTTCAACATTCTCTACACTCTCTACTCAGCACAACACTCAGCGACCAAACACCAACACCCCTGCTTCCAGAACATTCGGTATCTCATCATTCTCTTTCTCTGTTCTAGTTTTCTCCATCGATGCTATGTTTTCTTCTTTGATGATGACGATGTTGTTGGTGGTTTTGTTTCATTTGCTTCTGAATGTGTATGTGCGTTTTTTTTCCTCTTGTTATGTTTTCTGATTCTTAGTACTCTTCTCAGTTCCTCTTTTTTTTTTTTTTGGAATTAACAACTGAAAATGCATGTCCGATGTTTTTGATGATGACGATGTTGTTGGTCTGGTTTGTTTGTTTTGCTCCTGAATGTGATTTTAATTTTATTTTTTATGTATTTTTCTTTCATATTATTTTTATTTTAATTTATTATAATATTTTTTAATTTTTAATTTTATTTCCTAGTGTTATTTTTTATTTTATTTTCTCAATTTTTTCCTGATTTTCATTTGGGTTTATTGATCACGTATGAGTCAACTAATTTAAAATAAAGGTGCTGATGTTAATTTTCTTATTCCTAGTACTTCTCATTTCCGCTTTGTTTTCGGTTTTAACAACAACTGAAAATACATGTCCAATTTTTTTTGACTCTTTTCTGCTGCCAATTTATGTCTTTTTTTTTTTAAATTAATTTTTTTTAGAGGTTCTTTCTGTATGGGGGGAAATAATGAGAAGGTTGAGACTGAAAAAAAATGTTTTTTTTTTTTCCTGAATCTCAGTACTCTTCTCAGTTCCTCTTTGTTTTAAGTTTCAACTACTGTAAATGCATGTCCAATGTTTTTGAAGATGACGATGTTGTTGGTCTGGTTTGTTCGTTTGCTCTGAATTAGGGGTGACAAAATGTGTTGGTTGATCGGGGGGTTGTATCAAGGTTTAATTCACGGGTTAAACTGTTTAACCCGAACATGACCCGGTTTTGTTTGCCAATCAAAAAATGAAACCCGGAGACAACCCGTGGCAGGTTGCTGGTCACGGGTTGACCTGCAAAAATTAAAAATAAAGGGAAAAATTGGATAAGATATGCTTGAGTTGAGTACTTAAAAAAAAATTATCAATTTTTTTTTCTTTATTAGTTTGGGAAATTTTTTTTGTTGATTGTGGGTCAACTGGTGACGTGACACATTAATTGGTGTCATTTTTTCAAATCCGTATACGACTTGTATTATCCCATGCCTGGGTAATGACACGTTTTTTTACCTCTATTCCTGGATGTGTTTTTGTTTTTATTTTTTATTTTTTATTTTTTTAATTGTTTTTCCGGTTTTTACTTTTATGTATTTTCCTTTTTTATTTACTTTTCTATTATTTTTTTATATTTTATTTTTAATTCCTAGTGTTATTTTTTATTTTATTCTTGATTTTCATTTGGGTTTATTGATCACCTATGACATCTAATTTAAAATAAAATTGTTGATTGATGTTATTTTTCTTATTCTTAATATTTCTTATTTCCGCTTTGTTTTAGGTTTCAAAATCAACTGAAAATACATGTCCAATTTTGTTTTTATAATTTCTTTTGACTATTTTCCGCTGCCAATTTATTTTTTCATTTTCATTTTTTTTTAAATAAATTTTGGGGAAGGATATTGTAACAACCAAGTTATGTTACTACCAATCAATCTCACTGTTAGAACGCTTATGTTGATCCAACGATTATATTTATTTCTATCTTTATATGGTTATGATTCCCCATATTTAAAGTAAAAGAATTAAATATGGGAAATTATAACCATATAAAGGTGGAAATAAATATAAAATATTAAATTTGAGAAACCATGATCATACAAAGATAGAAATAAATATAATCGTTGGATCAACATAAGCGATCTAACGGTGAGATTGATTAGTAGTAACATGTAGTAATATAAATTGGTTGTTAGAATATCGTTCTCAGTAAATTTTTGTAGAAGTTCTTTCTGTATGGGGGGAAATGATGGGAAGGTTGAGACTGAAAAAAATTCATTTTTTTTTTCCTGATCCTTAGTACTCTTCTCAGTTCCTCTTTGTTTTAAGTTTCAACTACTGAAAATACACGCCAAATGTCTTTGATGATGACGATGTTGTTGGTATGGTTTGTTTGTTTTGCTCCTGAATGTGTTTTTAATTCTTTTTTTTTTTAATTTTCTTGTTATATTGTCTGATTCTCAGTTCCTCTTTGCTTTAGGTTTCAACAACAACTGAAAATGCATGTCCAATTTTTTATTTTTTATGACCATTTTCTGCTGCCAATTTATGTCTTTTTTTTTTCTTTTCTCAAATTAAATTGTTTTAGAGATTCTTTCTTGATGGGGGAAAATGATGAGAATGTTGAGACCTCAATGAGACAGAAAAGGAGATATAGGAGAAAGAAAATGGAGTATGATGGGTGGGGATCAACTTCCCTTATTCAGTTTCTCAATTCCATTGGTAGAGACACAAGCAACAAGATGACTGAAAATGAGGTAGATGAGCTTGTAACTCAGTATGTTAGGCAGAATGGCCTTCTTCATCCTAAGAAAAAGAGAACTGTTGTGTGTGATGAGAGGCTTTATTTGCTGTTCAGAAGGAAGACCATTAGCCGGTTGAGAATTAATCACTTCCTTGAGCCACACTTTGCTGAGAACCGTGAAGAATATTCTGATGATGCTGCCTCTAACTCAGAAGATGACAAGAATACCGTGGCAACGCGTAAAACCCGGAAAATTACAGGTTCTGAGATGATGAATGAATTGAAGAAACCGGTTGTGGAAAAACCAAAGAGCTGTTTTGCTGCAATCATCCCAAACAACATCAAACTTGTTTATTTAAAGAAGAGTCTAGTTGAGGAACTCCTGAAGGACCCTGAGACTTTTGATACTAAGGTTGTTGGAAGCTTCATAAGAACCAAATCTGACCCAAATGACTACCTTCAGAAAAACAGATTCCAGCTTCTGCAAGTTACAGGTGAATTGGCTGCTGTTGGTTGATTCTGACATTGCATTCTAATAAATGTGTTTTTATGACTTTTAAATGTACAAGTCTGGCAAGTTGTTTTGAATGGTATGCTCATCAACTGCTTGAGTTTAATACTCGTGCTTGTTAGAAGTTAAAGCAACAAACAAAGAGGCAAACCCAAATGATTATGTATTTTTTTTTTTTTTACATCATTAGTATAGGTCACATGCATTTTGATGACCCAACAAAGTAGTCAAGTAAGTCCCAATTGAAGGATTTGGACTATTCGGAATGAATGACAATGAACAAAACAACATAATCCAATAACCTCATACTGGGTGGGATTAACATGAAGCAAACTCAAAGGTGCTTCATATGTACTCTTTTTTTACATCGTTAGTATAGGTCAATGCCATGTGTGATTAGTCCTAATTGAACAATTTGGTCTACTCGTGTAGAAAATTTAGATTGATGCAATGTCAAGCGATCTGAGTGTAGATCCGAACAAGAGAGCAAGAATGAAGAAGAGAAAAAGATAGAGAGAGAACAGATAGTAACAATTCTGAATCTGGAACTGTATTTCCAATCTGAATAGTTTGTGCATACAACAGTTTATGACAGCTGTTCCAAGGTTGCTAGGATCTGTTTGTGAACAGATTTAACTAATCCCTGAATAAGCATAGGCTAGTCTAGTTCTAGCTGAGCTAAAACTCAGCGCACTGTCTTTAACTGTACCCTCTCAAACGCAGGCTGGATGAACAAGTTGAAAATGGTCAAACACCCCGAGTTTGTCTGCAACAGAGGAAACCCTGACTTAGATAAAGCCTTTGTCAAGCCATCAACAAGTTGATCTTCATCTGGGACATGGGAAACAATGAGACTAATTGAACGGTTTGGACTATTCGCAATGAATGACAATGAACAAACCAATCTAATCCTTTTGGTTTGCAATTAATTTTCTGTGGGTTCCTTCGTGGAATTATTTCTCTTAGTGTTGCATATTCATCTACTATTTATTTGTGAATTTGGTATGCCAATTGGCAATTGAATATGATAGATATAGAAAAATTAGACGATGAAAATTATTTCTTCTAATTAGCTGATTTACAGTTATTTCTGGGCTATCTTCCAGGTGTTAAGAAAAGCTCTGAAGTGGATGGGGAAATTCTCTTGCAAGTTTCTGGTTTCACCAAAGATATCAGTATTCGTATGCTTTCAGATCATAACTTCTCTCAGGTACAATTGAGTTATTGTAAAGAACCTTGGGATACACCACCCCAAAAGCTAGCTCAAAGGGTGGGAGTGCCCAAGGCCTTAAAAAGGCCACATTAGTTGCCCACACAATCAATGTGAGACTATATATCTCAACACGCCCCCTCACGCAAGAGCCCTTTGGGCGAGAAGCGTGGAATTGTACAGACCCAATTTTTGGTTTACCTTTTTGTGCTTTTTATTTTAATTCCACTTGAAAGTAGGAGGCGGTGAGGATCGAACTTGTAACCTTGTAGTCACTCAAGCTCTGATACCATGTAAAGAACCTTGGGATACACCACCCCAAAAGCTAGCTCAAGGGGTGGGAGTGCCCAAGGTCTTATAAAGACCACATTAGTTGCACATATAATCAATGTGGGACTATATATCTCAACACGGTGTATCCCAAGATTCTTTACAGTTATGTTACTATTTTTAACTTTATTTAGTAAAATTGTGCACTCTGCTAATGAGTGTTATCTCACTAGTAATATTGAATTGTGTTTACTCAACGGTCTTAGTTCGATTCATGTTTGTGATCCTTCATTGGTAAGTCATTGGTAACTGTAAGTAACCATTTTATACAACTTGTACCGTTTCCTGAACTTAGATTCAAGCAACTTTTCCTCCCCTTAAATTTGCATGTAGTAAAAAAAATTGTAAACTTTCGTGCTAAGCCAAAAATGTTTAGTTGTTTGTGTATAATCATCTTTCTTATTTCTAAAAAATTAATGCTGTTGAATATCATAGATACAAGAGGAAATGATAGTAATCCTTGTTGTATTAAACTACACAATATTGGTGCTATTATATAGCAAACCAATTGAAGAATACAAAGAGACATACTCAATGTGAGACTTCTACACTATTAACACTAACACTCTTAACACTCCCCCTCAAGTTGTAGCATATAGATCATATGCTACAAGCTTGATACATAAATAATACTCCCATTAGGAACCAAAAACAACAATGCTACATCAACGAAATGAAATGACTAAGTACAACAAATCAACTGGAATGACCATCAGTGTGAAGAGCTGATAAAGAGACAGTGCTGGAATGGACATCAGAGCATGGATGGTGCCAGAATTATCATCGGCAAAGACAACTGAGCTGACCAGGACATAAGCATCAAGATCCCTCTCAGACATTTCATTCAACAGTTGGTGAGCAGCCGTGGTTTCCCCTTGACTATGCTACAAGCTTATTACAAGAAAGACCAAGTAACATAACATCAAAATAAATCTCCTAAATGAGAAACCAAAAATCAACAATGTGCTAAAAATGGCGTCGAAATGAACATCAACATGGAAGATGCCGGAATGATCATCGGCAAAGACAATTGTGTTGGAATGACCATCAGCAACATGGACAGTGCTCCCCCTCAAGAGGAACTTCTAAACAGTGCTGGAATCATCATCGGCAAAGACAATTGTGCTGGAATGACCATCAACAATATGAACAGTGCTCCTCCTCAAGAGGAACTTCTAAACAGTGCCGGAATTATCATCGGCAAAGACAATTGTGCTAGAATGACCATCAGCAACATGGACAGTGCTCCCCCTCAAGAGGAACTTCTAAACAGTGCCGGAATTATCACCGGCAAAGTCGCCGGAGACGGCTGTCAACGGTGGACGACGCGGTCAACGGTGGTCGGTCAACGACAACGGTGGTCAACCCAACAACTTCCCAAGGATCATTCTTTTCTGATGTGACAGATCAGTCTAAGCTGTAGTCACAGAGCATACAAAGAAAAACACGAAAAAGAAATTGCAACAGGAATCCCTCAAGGAGGGTGATATCTCTCTATAACCATATTGAAATTATGGAAAATAGAACTAAGTTAAACGGATTAAGATTCCTCTTGTTAGGCTCTAGATACCATGTTGAATATCATAGATACAAGAGAAAATGATAGTAATCCTTGTTGTATTAAACTACACAACATTAGTGCTATTATATAGCAAACCAATTGAAGAATACAAAGAGACACACTCAATGTGGGACTTCTACACTATTAACACTAACACTCTTAACAAATGCAATAATGATGGATTACATCATTGACAGTTTTAATAATGTGAAGTTAAATTATGGATGTTGTTAGAGCTTAGAATATCTAGAAAACATTGTATAATATCTAGAAATTATGCAAGTTAAATTACATGTTTGCTCAGCCGTCTATTTCACAGTAGTTGCCCAAGGCCCCTCTACATTTAGGTGTTGTGGATCCCACTGGTTTGGTGTCTATGGGACATTTTCCGGTGTTCCAGCTTTTTCTGACACTTTTTCTATCATATTCCAGCTTCTCTACGGCATATTTCTTCTCATTTGGTGAACCATTCTAAATTTTTCTCTGTTCGTTGCTTTTTCTTTTGCTGCCATTGTTTCTTTTTTAAGGCACTGTCATTCTTGTCCCACATGCAGTCTGGCCTTGTCAGACTTTGTCCCAGTTGCAGTCTGGCCTTGTCAGACTTTGTCCCAGTTGCAGTCTCGGCCTCACCGGCCCCTGTCCTAGATGCCGTTTTGTCCCGTTGGCCTTTGTCCTATGTGTTGTCTGGTCCCGTCGGTCTTTGTCCCATATATGCAGTTTGTTCCCGGTCATTCTTCTAGATGCTGTCTAGCCATGTTAGCTTGGCCCTCATACAAAGTGATGAAAGAATTTACTGTGATTTATACTAGCCTCTCATTGTGAATCATACCAATGGTGATGTCTCATATCTCATTGATAGGTCATGCCAATAATGTTGGGTGTGATGCGCATCAGCTTTAATGTCAATTTTCATTTTGGGTCTCCTATGATCTCTTGTGGTTTATCGCTTCCAAACGTTGTCCTTGATGAACTTGGAGGAGTAGGTTGTTCTTGTTGTGTTGTCATTTCAACAATGTTCATCTCTCTGACATCTTCAACATCCCTGAGCTGCCTTTTCAGCCATGTTTTGTGGAACCTAGATATATTATCTGGTTATTTTTCCTTTTAAAAGATTTTTTTTGTAACAAACTTAAAGTAATGTCTAGAAAATATCATATGATATTGATTATATCTTAAAATCATTTGTATCTTTCATTTGAGTTTATCTACCACCGATCTCAATTAGTTTGTGATAAATGTGTAGAATATTCTAGAGTCTTTTACTTGTTACTAGCTACTAGTCTCTTTGAGTAGTGTGATGCCTCTTCGGTTACTGTGTATTTTATTTATTACTTTATGTTGAGATATATAAAACCACTAAAAAGCCCTCACCCACCAGCTTAAGCTTTTGGGTTGAATTGGTTCTTTACATGGTATCAGAGCCTCGTGTCCCGGGTTCGAATCTCGCCGCCCCTCACTTTATTTCTAGTGGAATTTCTTTCTTCGCACAGGTAGGTGGGCCTGTGCATTGTCCACCCTTCAAGTCCAGTGGGCTCTCGTGTGAGGGGGCGTGTTGAGATATATAAAACCATTAAAAAGCCCTCACCCACCAGCTTAAGCTTTTGGGTTGAATTGGTTCTTTACACTTTATCTCCTTGACTACCTTGTATTCTGTATAAAAAGAACCCTTTGAGGTGTCAATCCATATATGAAAAAATACATTTTAGTCTTATATTACAATATGGTATCAAGAGCAGGTTATCCTGTGGTCTTCTTGTAAACCTCCGTCGTCTTTTTTCCAATTTTTTTTTTCACTGTTTCGCTTTTACAATTCAGAAACCATATATGGACCCCTCCAATCACAAAACCAAGACCACCACTGAACTCAGAAGCCATTTCCGAGTCGACCCACGTCATCCCCGTCGCTGGACCGTCAGCCACGCGCCGCCACCGCAGATCTGCCTCTCCGACGCGTGTGAGCCACTCGCCACCCTGCCGGCTTCTGTTTGTCACGCGGCTTCCACAGAACAGCTCGCCTGGCTTCCCTCTTCCTGTTCTGAGGGTTTAAATCACGATTGGAGCACTTTTCTTGCTAAGTCCAGTTGTTTCCTCTTCGTTATCAAAGTCAATAGGCGTGACCTGTTGCTCTCCTTCTTTTTACAACGATGGAAGTTGAAAATAATGAGGATGAGAATAAGCATTCTGAAAAATTATCCGGTAATGTTTCTGGTGTCTCTCCTCTTTCCTGTTCTTCGTCTTCTGGAGACAACCCAGCTATACAGATTACTAACCACCGTTTAAACGGTAAGAATTATGTGCAATGGCATCAATCTGTCAAGCTGTTTATCCAAGCAAAAGGGAAAATGGGGTATCTTGATGGAAAAAAGGAAAAACCCGAAGCTGATGATCCTGATTATGATAAATGGATGATTGAAAATGCCTTGGTCATGACCTGGTTGACTAACTCCATGGATCCTGATATCAGTCAAACTTATTTGTTTCTTGATACGGCTCAGGAAATTTGGGATGCCGTTAAAGAATATTATTCTGACCTAGGCAATCCTTCTCAGGCTTTTGAACTCAACACCAAGGTAAGAGAGTTACATCAAGAAGGGATGTCTGTTACTGAATACTTTCTTGCTTTAAAAACTCTGTGGCAGGAGTTGTATCTTTATGATGCAGCAGATCTTCAAGGTTTAGAAGCTAATGCAAGGTTTAAGAGTTATTTAGAGAAAAGACGTCTCTATAATTTTCTTGCTGGCCTTAATCGTGATCTTGATGATGTTCGTGGAAGGATATTGGGGCAGAACCCGTTACCTTCCATTGCAGCTGCTTTTTCTATGGTACGACGAGAGGAACTTCGCCGAAAGGTAATGTTGGGAGACAAGAACTCTAAATCCTCCGATGTATCTGCCCTAGTAGCAAAACATACTCCTCGTCCCCCTAGTGATGCAAAACGTTCTGACCGATGGTGTTCTCATTGCAATAAGAGTAGTCACACTCGCGAAAAATGTTGGGAAATTCATGGAAAACCACCAAACTGGAAAACAAAGGGGCTGAACAAGAGTCGTGCTTATCAAATCTCTTCTGATGATAAGGGTGAGGAGTCTCGTGCCTCTCCAAACTCCGATGGTGTATTCATCCCGAAAGCTCAGTATGAGCAATTCCAGAAGGTGATGTCTCAATCTGCTGAGGCAACTTGTCATGTTGCTCAACAAGGTATGGCATTCCATGTTGATTGTAGTAGTCGTTGGATTCTTGATTCAGGAGCCTCCGATCATATGACAGGCAATGCATCCTTGTTTTGTTCTTATACCCCTTATTATCACCCGTCATGAATAAGGACTGCTGATGGTAGTTTCTCTAATATTGCGGGAAAGGGATCTATTAAGCTCTCTGATCATATTACTCTGAATTCTGTCCTTCATGTCCCTTCTCTTACTTGTAACCTTATCTCTATTAGTAAACTTTCCTCTGAATTGCATTGTGTTGCTAAATTCTCTGCCAAAACCTGTGTTTTTCACGAACAGGATTCGGGGCTGATGATTGGCCACTGCTAGAGAGGAAGAAGGGCTTTACTATTTTGAAGAAGATTCTCATGAAAAGAGATTTTTTGCAAATCACTCTTTATGTTTATCAGACGATGTAATGATGTTTTGTTGTGGCATCGTCGTTTAGGACACCCAAATTTCTTTTATCTTCAAAAGCTGTTTCCAAACTTATTTATTAATAAAAAACCAAGTTCCTTTTTTTGTGATGATTGTCAGTTTGCAAAACACTCTCGTGTTTCTTATTCCCACAGAAATTATAATGTTTCGTCTCCATTTACATTGATCCATAGTGATATTTGGGGGCCAACTCGTGAAAAAAATATATCTGGAACTCGTTGGTTTATTACTTTCATTGATGATCATTCTAGAGTATGTTGGGTATATCTTCTAAAGGATAAGTCTGAAGCTGCAACCACTTTTAAAAACTTTCATGATATGGTACAAACTCAATTCCAGACCTCTATCCAAATCCTGTGATCTGACAACGGTACTGAATATTTTAATTCTGTTCTTGGGGATTACCTAACCAAGCAAGGTATTATCCATCAAAGTTCTTGTCCTAACACCCCTCAACAAAATGGGGTGGCTGAAAGAAAAAATAGACATCTCATTGAAGTTGCTAGAGCCCTCTTGTTTACGATGCATGTCTCTAAATACCTGTGGGGGGAGGCTGTATTGACTGCCTTATATCTCATCAATCGGATGCCCTCTCGTGTCCTGAATTTTCATTCTCCCATATGTTGCCTTACCCGCTCTTTTCCCTCCTTTCGGGCTTTCTCTTCCCTTCCTCCAAAGTTGTTTGGCTGTGTGGCTTTTGTTCATATTCCTCCACATCAAAGGTCCAAACTTGATCCTAAGTCTGTTAGATGTATCTTCATAGGATATCCTTCTAATCAAAAAGGGTACAAATGCTACTCACCTTCTCTTCGAAAGGTCTTTGTTTCTATGGATGTTACCTTTTATGAAACACAATCATTTTTTCCTTCGACTTCTCTTCAGGGGGAGTCTATTGGTGTAAATGAAGACAAATCTTGGATTTCAAATAATTCTACTGTCTTACCTTTACCCTTGGAAACATGTGTTGTTTCTTTACTTATGGAGACAGGGGGAGTTAATGTACAGGAGACAAGGACAACAGCTGTACCAGAGACTAGAGATCCTCCTGGTAAATGGGGAAAATTCTACAGCAGGCGTAAATCTCCTCAAGATCCTCTAGACTGCCAGGATTCTGACCCGAGTCCTAGTTCCAGCAATCCACTTGAGAACACCGGTACATCTGACCTAAATATGCCCATTGCCCTTCGAAAAGGTACTATATCTTGCACTGCTCATCCTATTTCTCATCACATTTCATATGAAAAGTTATCTCCAGGTTTTCGTGCTTTCAACACTATATTAGACGGTACAAAAATACCAAAAAATATCCAAGAGGCACTTAATGACCTTAAATGGAGGGATGCGGTTTTTGAAGAAATGGATGCACTTAAGAAAAATGGAACTTGGGAATCCGTGGCACTTCCCAGAGGAAAGAAAACTAGGGATGTGCATAGGTCGAACCGAACCGGATTTTTTGAAAAACCGAACCGAATTGGTTTAAATGGTTCGGTTCGAAAGTGGTTCGGTTTGGTTCAGAAGTGGTTCGGTTCGGTTCGGAAGTAGTTCGAAACCGGTTCGGGTCGACCCTCTTTTGAAAAGAAAAAAAATTAAAAAATTAAAAAATAAAGTTATAAAAATTAATTTGGTTCGGTTTGAAAATGGTTCGGTTCAGTTCGGAAACGGTTCGGTTATTAAACCGGTTCTAAAAACCGGTTCGGTTCTTAAATCGGTTCTAAAAACCGGTTCGGTTCATGAACCGGTTCTTTAAAAATCGGTTCGGTTCATGAACTGGTTTTTAAAAATCGATTATTTTATGGGGCGGTTCGGTTCGGTTCATGGTTCGACCCAATTTTTTGGTTATTTTGCACACCCCTAAAGAAAACTGTAAGTTGCAAATGGATGTTCACAATAAAATTTAATGCAGATAACAACATCAACAAATATAAGGCCAGATTGGTTGCCAAAGGATTTACTCAGACTTATTGGATAGACTATCAGGAGACATTTGCTCCCGTTGCCAAACTTAACTCTATTCGAGTCCTACTATCACTTGCTGCCAACCTTGATTGGCCCTTGCATCAATTGGACGTAAAGAATGTCTTCTTAAATGGGGACTTACATGAGGAAGTTTACATGGATCCACCACCTGGTTTTGAAGAGGGAGATGGTTCAGTATGCAAGTTGAAGAAGTCTCTTTATGGACTTAAACAATCCCCCTAGAGAGTGGTTTGAAAAGTTTACTCGTGCTGTTAAAGAAAGAGGATTTGTCCAAGCTCAGACTGATCACACTTTATTTTTTAAACACTCCGATAGTGGCAAAATTGCTATCCTCATTGTTTATGTTGATGACATAATTGTCACAGGTGATGACTGGGAGGAAATAAAATCTTTAAAGGGGGGTTTAGCTAATCAGTTTGAACTGAAGGATCTTGGATCACTCAAATATTTCCTTGGAATGGAAGGTGCTCGTAGCAAGGCGGGAATTTCCTTATCTCAGAAGAAATATATCCTAGACCTGCTACAAGAAACAGGTATGCTTGGGTGCAAGCCTGCAGAAACTCCTGTTGAACCCAATATTAAATTGGGAATTGAAGATGGAAAAGATGTTTACAGGGAGCAGTACCAAAGGTTGGTAGGGAAGCTGATCTACTTATCTCACACTCGGACTGATATTGCATTTACAGTTAGCATGGTTAGCCAATTCATGCATTCTCCTAAGGAAAAACACCTTAGTGCGGTTTATAGAATCCTCAAGTACCTCAAAAACACCCCTGGTCGAGGAATGCTCTTTAAAAGGGGACACAAGAGGATGATAGAAATCTATACAGATGCTGATTGGGCTGGCTCTGCAATGGACCGAAGATCCACTTCAGGATATTGTACCTATGTCTGGGGAAATCTTGTGACCTGGAGAAGTAAGAAACAAACTGTTGTTGCCAGAAGCAGTGCAGAAGCAGAATTTCGGGCGCTAGCCCATGGCATTTGTGAAGGAATTTGGTTAAGAAGACTCCTTGAAGAGTTAAAGATATCTTATTTTCTACCTGTCAGACTCTATTGTGATAATAAGGCTGCAGTCAGTATTGCTGAAAATCCTGTACATCATGATAGAACCAAACATGTGGAGGTTGATCGTCATTTTATTAAAGAAAAATTGGAGGAGGGTAGTGTATGTTTGTCATATATACCTACCAAGGAGCAAACAATCGACATTCTCACCAAAGGATTACATAAACCCATCTTTGAGGATTCAATTAGCAAGTTGGGGATGATCAATATATATCTCCGAACTTGAGGGAGAGTGTAGAATATTCTAGAGTCTTTTACTTGTTACTAGCTACTAGTCTCTTTGAGTAGTGTGATGCCTCTTCGGTTACTGTGTATTTTATTTATTACTTCATCTCCTTAACTACCTTGTAATCTGTATAAAAAGAACCCTTTGGGGTGTCAATCAATATATGAAAAAATACATTTAAGTCTTATATTACAATAAAATGTATTGTTGATGTTGATGGATTATATCTTAAAATAGTTTACGGAGTATTAGACGATCTTTTAGGAATAGTTTCCCTATTTTGTTATATTTCATGATTTGTTTTCTTATTTTAAGAGTCCCCTAGTTAGTATAAATCGAACTTATTACTTTGTAAAAAGAGGGCAAGCCTAGAGGGCTGGTAAAATTGCTTCCTTGTGACAGAAAAGTCACTGGTTTGAATCTTAGAAACAGTCTTTCTGTAAATATGGAAGGATAAAACTGTGTACGAGATTTAATTAGGAGTTTTTTTGTTTTTTGTTTTTTATTTTTAAGTTCTTATCACTTTGTCTTTTGTATAACGTCAGATCATACCATATAATATTTAGTCTCTATACCCGGGCTTTGATGTAGCCAGTTGCTAACAGGGTACACTCCAATCTACAATCAAATGGGTTCATCTCATAAAAATACTTTTTCTACAGCTGGCTTGTCACGCTTGTCCTTTATCCTGGATTGGGGCAAGCTATGTAAATATACATACATCGAGTTATTTGGAAATTCTTATGCTAAAACAAAATACAAAATAAATGTGAGATGAATTCCCAACCCCATGCTTTACTTTGAAAAACTCTTTCTATGATCTCCACTAATAAACTAATAACTTTTACATTTCGTCTTTTGTTTTTTAAACTGTTTACTGGCTAAAATAATTTTAATAGATGCTGACAAATAAAATAGTGTACTTTTGCGTAAGAATAGCAACTTTGTGTGACTGCTTTATACCATCTTTTTAATGACATTTATCATTTTCAACCACTTTATGCTTTGCATTTTATCTGTATAATTTGGCCTTTAAATTTTTGGATTTTGGACCCGTGACTTTGGTTTCAGGAGGAGTGTGAGGATTTACAGCGAAGAGTAAAAGATGGCTTGCTCAAGAGACCTGTGGTTGTAAGTTCTTTTCAGTGCTTTGAATTTTTCTAAGATAACGAAACTCTTGCAGCACTACTAGAACAATCCAATTCCTTAAATTGGTTACTTAAAAGGAATATAACTCAGTGTATTCTTTATACGTGAGAGTCTGTTTTACCCCAAACACTATGTCTGATGCTTTTATGAATCTGAATATTATAATAATACCATTTTTGTTTTATACATGGTAGGTGGATTTGGAGAAAATGGCAAGAGTTTTGCATGAGGATATAACTAAGCACGTACGTTCTGAACTGTTATGGAACCTTGTGCTTAGATTGCTTCATTTGTGTTTCAGTTCAGTGGTTTTCTCAGTTTATTCATTTGCACTTCTTATGTCTGTTAAACACCAGTCCTTTGGCACAGTAAATAATAAGATATACAACAAAAAGGGAACATATAAAGAAACAATTGATCCAGAAAGTAGGACATCCGTATTAGCCATCTGCATTTGTAAGAGAAGTGTACTTTCCTTAATATTGTGTGCATATCATTTCATGAACATATCAATATTATTCTTATTTACTAGGCTGGATTTGCAATGAAACAAGAAAACACTCAAACGATGAAACAATGTGACATATAGCTATATAGGTTATTTTTTGCTTTGATAAATTAAGTAGCTATCAAACTGTTGTATCTTGTGTATCAAAAGATAGATGAAGTGAGATAACATGCTATCACCAATATTTTTTAATGATATATTATCTCCCAGTAATGTTGTGCTTTTGAGTGCCAATATGCAGCTGTTACATATTGTGTTTCAAATCAAAATGTCATCCTCAGTTGCTCATGTTCCATGCTTAGATATAGCTTTACCATTTTTCATTAATTAATCAGATTTGATTGATTGACTTCACTTAAGGGATATCACGTAGTTTTTCTGTTATCGCCCCATTTTCAATGATAGTTGTATCTTTAAGTCTGTAAGATACAAAATTAGTCAAGTAACCATTGAGAAAATAGATTTGCCTTTATATAATAATAACAATAAATATATATTGATAAGTAAAAAGAATATAATAATATAGAAATATTATATAGAAATATAAAGTATATTAAATATATTAATTTATTTTGGGAGGAAGAACTAGTAGGAGTTACAAAACCATCCATTCTAGTTTTGTATTTGTTTGGATAAAATACTTAGCTAATTCCATGCGTCATTCTTCTTCCAAATTTTTGATATTCTCTCTCTCTCTCTCTCTCTCTATATATATATATATATATATATATATATATATACACACTTGTCCTGTTTCTTCAGTGTGTTCACTAAAATTATATATGTGCTTTACATGCTTGCTTCAAATAAGAATTTATGTTTGCACATTTAATTAACATTTGGTCTTGGTTTTTCACCTAACTTTTCTGCTTCTTATTATATGGTGAATCTGATTTAGTGGATAGCAAGCGAACTCGCTCTGTTGCAAAATCTAATTGATCGAGCTAATGAAAAGGGTTGGCGTAGAGAATATCCTTTTCTGATATTAGATGATGATTTTTTCTACATTATGGTAATGCCTTCCTATCCAGTTTTGCATCAGAAGATGACAATATGTGGTGACTGTTGAACCTAGTTAATGTCTTACACTACACTTGTGCCTTAGTTTGGAATCGTGAATTAAGAAATTAGTTTTGCATTAGGATTTTATTTGATCATTATGTATATCATGCTAAATGCTTTGTTTCGAGATCCTTTTTTAGTCAAAAACTGTAAAAAAAATGTTCCCTATAAAACAGAGATTCTTTAATTGATTGGAAGTACATTGGATGAGCACCTACAAAAAAGGGAGAAGCTTGAGAGTCCACAAGAACAGGAACGTTTGTTGCATGAAATTCCTGAAGTTATTTCAGATGATCTAGATTCAGAATGTACAACATCAGATGTTGCAGAGAAAAAGATAGAAATCGATTCTCAAGAGTTATGCCAGACTCCATATATGAAAGCATCTTTGGTGACTGAGGTTCCGAAAGCAGTTGCCGATGGTTTTGTGAAACAAGAAATCAATTCACCAAAGTCAATTGTCAGTCTGAGTAGACCATCAGAAGTTCCTTTTTTCAATATGGCAATGGGTGGCACTATGTCGAATTGCATTTCTTGTGACGCTGCTGCAGGTTTGTTATAAACATTCATCTTTTTCCATGATGCTCTCTTTTAAATGTAAGCCTGTTTTTAATATCTGTGAATGTGCTTGATGGAAATGCTGCATTATGTTTTGTTTTCTGGGAAGCGTGCTACATTTAATTATTGTACTTCAAAAGCACCAAGGATAAGCCATATAGCACAGGAATCTGATAGCTCCTGGCAATAGGGAAGGTGGAAATAATAGAGACATCGATGAAATATAGGTTGTATTGAACCCCAAATAGGGAGATATAGTAGATTACAAAGGATAATGAGTTATTGAAGAGAACCATGCTCTTCTACAGAACCTTGCTGCCCAATCTTTACCCAATACATGCCTGCCCTTACCTTCAGCTACCCCTGGTTTATAAAATAACCTCCTAACTGAAATGTGTTCTATCCTCCACTTAAAGGATGACAGCTGGACATTCCAGAATATACTATGTAACAGATTTTGACTCCACTCCACTGTTCTCAGTTCTATTCTTTCCTAGTGTGCACCCTTTTTGTGAGAGTTGTATCAGAATCATACTGCCATAACATTGCCCTCCTTACCTACCAATGCCTCTGAACTTGATCAAAAGGGAATGCTTCAATTTCTGTGTACATGTCCAATTTTACTGGAGAGTTCAAACTGTCTTAATTCTAAATGTAACTACAAATGCCTCTGAAGTCTGAAGAGTTATATGGTGTTTATAAAAATGAACAAGCGATGATTGAAAGGTTTCATGATAATCAATCATTTTATTCCTTTAATTTGAAAATGTTCTTAAGTTAGAGAATATAAAAATTCACCTTCCTTTCCATTTCCCTCCGAAACCCTCTGTCCCAAATATACCTTGTAAGTAGCCTTTTGTAGGCCATGAACATAAAAGAGGGAAAAATTAAATTTTTTTATGCGGAAGAAGCAACCTTTGCCCATCCTCAATCATGTTTAACCCATGAATCATGCAATAGACATGTTAGGGTTTAAAGTAGATACCTTTATTCGGATTATTATTCCTGATCAAATGCGTTCTTGATCAATTCTCTAGACTTGAAGAACACAAGTCCTCCGATGAAAATCCACACCACCTTGTTGTCTTGTAAGAGAAGAACACTTCTTCGAATGCCCAATCTCCTTCAATGGAGGTTGCCAGACTCAAGAGAAGAATAGAGATTGGGTAGTGTCTTTGGTTATTCCAAGAGAGAGATAGCCGCCACACTGATGTGTGTGTTGGCTCAGGTTTCAGTGGAGAAAATTAGAGAAGAAGAAGAGATACAAAACTAAGGAAGAAGAGGGGCTATATATAGATGTGGCAACTCATTAACCTAAGACTAGGTCAAATCAGCGCCCTCATCAAATCCCAATCTTATTGGGTAATTTCCTTATTTTTATCCAATCAATCCAATTGATTGGTTTCCCCAATTTCAGCCAATTAATTTAATTAATTGGTTTCTTTAATTTTGGTCAATCAATCCAATTGATTTGTTTCCCTAATTTCAGCCAATTAATTTAATTAATTGGTTTCCTTAATTTTGGTCAATTAATCCAATTGATTTGTTTCCCCAATTTCAGCCAATTAATTGGTTTCCTTCATTTTGGTCAATCAATCCAATTGATTTGTTTCTCCAATTTCAGCCATCTTCAATAAATCTAATTTAATGACTATATTTAAATTCCAATTTCAAATTCGAAATTCAAAATTAGAATTTAAATTAATTTTATTTAAATTCAAATTTCAAATTCGAATTCAAATTAATTTTATTAATTTAACAATTAAATTAATTAGGTTACATCATGGATCAAGTCCAACTTGACCCATGATGCCACCTACTCTCTCTTGGCCCAATATGTGAGCTTTTCCAACTTAGGCTCATTATGCCTTATTGGGCCCAAAACACATATGCTAGAATTCAAGACAATTTAAGGTGTTTGTGTGCGACCCATCAGGCCCAACATAGCCACTGACATAAATGGGCTTGGACCCTTTAGGCCCAATCCATCTAATGACAACACAGAGCACTAGCAATGCTTTGTTGTCCTAGAGCTAGTTGAGTTCATCGAATGATCAACCTGTTATACCTATTTGGTTACCGTGTGAATTGTCCTTTCGTCTCGGTTATCCATCCCATTGACCTAGGTCAAGGAAAATGTATCAACCCCTACGGTCTAGGGTTCGCTTTTGCCAAAACAGGGAATCTTCATTTATGGACTCTAAAGAGCGGGCCATCTTATGACTCCTTTGCTATGCATAGATTCCCGAGTCCCGTAAATGTCATCCTGATTTCACCGGTCTACGGATAACCTAATCTCTCACAGAGATTGACGAGTCCCTTTAGCTTGTCACACTAGCCCTGAGTCCTTAGGGCATGCCCAAGAGTATACCTACGAGTCTCCATTTTTCAGACAGACAAGATTTACAATCAAAGCAAGCCTTCCAGAGCACAGGTCTATACGACAACGTCAAGTCTAAGGAAAGACACACTCAAATAATAAGAGACATTATCTATTGATACTATCTGTGAGATTTCCTTGTAGTGTCTCTTTGTGGGTCAGTTCAGTGCGAGCTATTCTCCAATAGGTCCACCCACGAGTCAGATAAGACATCTCCATGTCTGTAGCTCACGAGGACTCTACCTTGCAGATCCTTGCAAGTAGCTGAGTCGTGCTAGTCTTACCCGAGATAACCAATGCCCATTATCGGTATCTCTAGACTAGGAACATATTTCTGGCAATGGACGTGTGGTGTCATTGAGCCCTCATGATCGTGGTCTCTATCACAGATCCTCAATGTGACACCCGTTTCATTCCAAAGGCTTTATCCAGTTACTCATATTTAATATTTGAGACATGCAATATGAAACAAGATAAATAATGCTTTTATTCATAAAATTTATTCATAACTAATAAAGAAGTACATGGATCCATCTGACTCTCAGATTGTCTCTAGGACACCTATGTACTAACACCCTAAATGTTCAATGGAATACTGTAATATTTCTTTACATATGCATTCTCAATGTCTTCTTTTACCTTTATATTCTACTTGCCTTTACTTCTATATGGATTCCTTTAATATTGGCATGTGGACTTTGATGTAAATAGTATCTGACGCTTTAATGTTTGTGACCATTTGCATTCAGTTATTATCTTTTTCAATTTTGCCAATTTGAGTGCTGGAAGCTGGAATGATTCCCACTGGAGATGAGAATGGGAAAGAAATGGGATAATCATTTGCTTCGCATGTTTTGTATGGTTAAGAAATGCATGACCTTTTCATTCTATTCCAATTTTGGGTATGCCAAAATAAGAGAGTAAGGGAATGGGAAGAAAACTATTAACACTTACAGTTATGCCTTTGCCTTAAACTAATTCTTAAAACAAAAAATTTAAAAAGTCATTTTATATTTTAGACTCCATATCATTCAAATGAATTGCAGTAAATATAGATGCAGCCATAAACTGAAAATGTAGCTGACACTGAGTTGAATATAATACATTTTTATGTTTTTAAAAATTGCAAATATGAAATTCTTGATAAAAGCATACCTAATCTAGAAACTACTTAAAATTCAAATGGTAGCATCACAATATTCTATTTGGTGCAGATCAAGATTGCCACTGTGGTGCTGTTGGGTGTTGGTCTAAGCTGGTTGTCCTACCTACCAAGCCTGAATTGTCTTCAGATGCTGCATTGAAATTAGTTGCATCCCAGGTGGCTTCATCTTCTCCTAAATAGAAATTCTATTCAGAGTAGATACAGTTCTCTAATTCTCTATGATTTTTCAATTATATCAAATTACTAAACCAAACTGAATTTCAGCGACTTTTTATTATTTCAAAGTTTTTCTTTGAGCTAATGCTTTTGAATTGGTTAATGAATATTATACTTTGACAAATTTTCATTGAACTTGTGGTTAAGAAATGCATCTACTTTTGTATTTTCCATGAAAATAGTTTTAATTTTTTTCATCATGATTTTTCTGGATTTTAGCAATGGTGGTGTCACTATATCCTCGTGTATTTTCTGAATGATTTATTGAGTATGATTGATGATTGTAAATATATTGATTATTGAAGATTTCAAGTTGGACTATATCACCATAAAATGAGATTTCTGAAGTTAGTGAAGAGAAAAGAATAAAAGCCTTTTATGCTCTAAACTATAATTCCATATTAAATGGCTATAAACATGTAGAGTAACAGGTCTATAAACATAATAGCCACTCTTTACAATAACAACTCTTGTTGTGGTTACTCTGTTTTGGACAGTGTTTACTCCAAGAACAAGTTGGGAAATGGTGCTTAAAATCAGGCGCCAAAGTGGAATAGCATGCCTTTTGCTTTTTTCATTTCCCCCCTATCTTAAAGTGGTTTTAATGGATGAAAAAACCACTCCCTATTAAATCCCGATTAGCGAGAGTGGAGTGAAGGCAATCTTTGTATGTAGCTTTACTCTTGTATATTTACAAAAAGGCTGCTTCCCAGATTCAAGCCCATGACCTTTTAGTCATAAAGGAGTAGCTTTATCACTGCTCCAGGCTTGCCCTCTTTCTTAATGGATGAAACTCATCACAAAATGTTCGAAACATTTTTGAAAGGTTTTTAAATTCTGTAATTGGTTCTGAATTGTTTAAAACCAATTAAGATATGTTTGTAACCTATCAAGCATATAAATCTGTTAGACTTATACCTCTAAGAGGCTGAGCGTTTTCCCAACGGTAAGGTTGCTATAATGCTTGGTTTGACAACTTGGCAAGCCCCTTAAATGTGGTGATTAGAGTTAGGGCAATGGTTGATCTCAACAATCTGGTCATTTCAATATCCAAAGGGATGTGCTTGGGATTTTTGGTTGTGGAGGTAGGCTATGGTAATAGTAGACTAGAATTGTTGGCATGGCTTTTATATGCCTGATTAAGACGAATAGATGGCTCTTACAGAGGCTGTTTTTCACAACAACTTCATTTTTTATCGTTTTACTCAATGGATGGTATTGGAGGGAGAGGGAAGGGAGGGTAAAGTTTTCATTTTTTGAATTGAGAAAGTTATATGGTGTTGATAAAAAATGAATAAGGGATGATTGGAAGGTTTCATGATAATCAATAATTTTATTCCTTTTATTTGAAAAAGTTCTTAAATTAGAGAATATGAAAAATTTACCTTCCATTCTATTTCCCTCCTATACCCTCTATCCCAAATGCGTTCTGGATGTATTCCTTTACCATTATATTTATTATTTACTTACCTTTTGCTTCTTTGTGGATTAATCTAATATTGGCTTGTGGACTTTGATGTAACTAGTATCTGATACTTTAATTTTTGTGATCATTTGCATTCAATTATTTTCTTTTTCAGTTCCACTTGTTTGATTGCTTGAATGATTCCTATTGGGGATGAGAATATTCTCTTGGCATGTGTTGTATGGTTAAGAAATGAATGACCTTTTCATTCTAGTCCTAAGTTTGGTATATCAAATTAAGAGAGTAATGGAATGGGAAAAAAAATATTAACACTTTCACCGAGCCTCTCTCCAAGATAGTGCCCAAATTGTTACGCCTTTCGTGCAAGTCAGAACTTATCCAACAAAGAATTTCGCTACTTTAGGACCGTTATAGTTACGTTCGCCGTTCACCGAGGCTTCGGTCGCCGGCTCCCTTGTCATCATGTCCCCAACTTCCTTACCTTTCGGCTTTGGGCAGACGTCAGCCAAAAGTTCTGCCTTGGCCTTGAAAATTAATTCTTTTTAAAAAATATTTTAACAAATCATTATATATTTTACACTTCATACAATTCAAATGAATTATATTAAATATAGATGCAGTCATAAATGAAAATGTAGCCAACAATGAGTTAAATAAAGGGAAAACCTTGGTGCATAGTTAGTCGAGGTACCCTGACATTGGGAGAGTACAGGTGAAGGTTGATTGTGTGTAGCCTTATCCTTGTATGTTTTTTGAAGAGATTGTTTCCCAGACTCAAATATGTGATCTTCTGGTTACAAATGAGCAACCTTACCGCTACTCGAAGGCTCGCCCTAATAGCTAGTTGAACATACTACATTCTTTTTCCGGAAAAATTACTAGTATGAAATTCTTGATAAAAACATACGTAATTTTGGAAGAGCTAAAATTCAAATGCTTGTCACCCACTTTGTGTTTAATGAGTAACCACTTATTGACTTAATTAGCTTCATGAGTGGTTAATTATTCCTAAATTGGAAATAATTTAATCCATAATTCCTTTTGTAATTTTCGCTATTTCTTCTTATATTTTCATTTTCTTGATTGTTTTGTTTTTAATATTAGTCCTAGTATATCTTCAAATATTCAAAGATCACTTATCATTAAACTTCGATCAGCGAGAGTGGGGTGAATGCAATCTTTGTACGCAGCCTTACCCTTGTATAATTGCAAATAGGGTGTTTCCAGGATGGGGTGAAGGCAATATACAAATATTTAAATGATATAGAAATTTCCAATTTAAGCAAAACAAATGGAAATACCTATCTTCTCCAATCAACAAGTTGAGCAAAATCATTACTAGAAATATATGTCCTTCCGTAAGTCCCAATATACCTTCTTAAAACATCATTATCTTAATGGATAGAGCCTATGTATCTAAACCTCTTCAAGCATGAAATACCTAGAAGGTAGAAATGTAATAGTTTTCTATGATTTTCCATTTCCCATATCTGATTACGTACTTGAGCTTGAATTGGATCAAAGTGTTAAAGACCAATTATACTAAAAGCTATTTAGGTAAAGGTATATGATTGATTTTGTATATCTAACACGTTTTTTCATGCAAAATTCCATTGGGCTTGTAGCATGGTGTAGGTGTGCATCGAGCTTGTAACATGGATAATGCGCAAGTCTAACTTTAGGAGTGCATTGGGATTGTAAAATGCACGCGTCTAACTTTACCTTGTATTGAAATTCAACCCATTTATGAAGAATGGAGGTGGCAATGGTCAAACTCTTGGCCATCTAGTCATATAAGCTCTAATCTTAAAAGCCCGAGTTATTAGGTGAAGGTCCATAACTAGTAAAAGCTTAAGCTATATAGGTAAAGGTCTATGATTGATTTTGTATTTCTAACACGTTTGTTCACGCAAAATTTCGTTGGGCTTGTAGCATGGTGTGGGAGTGCATTGAGCTTGTAATACGGATAATGCGCAAGTCTAACTTTAGGAGTGCATTGGGATTGTAATATGAATAATGCACATGTCTAACTTTACCTTGTATCGAAATTCAACCCTTTTATGAAGAATAAAGGTGGCAATGAGCAAAAGATCAACTTTTAAAGCTTGAGTTATTAGGTGAAGGTCCATAAATACTAAAAGCTTAAGCTATTTAGGTAAAAGTCTATGAATGATTTTGTATGTCTAACATGTTCCTTCATGCAAAATTCTGTTGGGCTTGTAGCATGGTGCCGGAGTGCATTGGGCTTGTAACGTGGGTAATGCACATGTTTAACTTAAGGAGTGCATTGGGATTGTAATATGGATAATGAACATGTCTAACTTTACCTTTTGTTGAAATTCAACCCATTTATGAAGAATGGAGGTGACAATGGTCGAACTCTTGATCACTTAGTCATATAATCTGACACATTTGCAAAGATCAACTCCTAAAAGCCTGAGTTATTATGTGAAGGTCCATAAATGCTTTTATATCTTCAACAAATAAAGAAATTAAACACATCCACCCAATTTTGACAACGAATTAGAGAAAATAAAAAGGTTGACTATTTGAAATACCGCAAGTGTAGCCGTGATGCATAGAAACTGTCAAGAAGAGAGATCAGGTTGTGATAAGGACCAACCAACAATTACAATAATCAAATGGAATGATGAACTAGAATGAAATTGGAATGTATTTATATAACCAGAATCAGTCTCTCAACCATGCGCCTTAACACCAATTACAATAACCAGAATGAATCAACAGTAGAGTTACGTAGTTCATCGACGTATTACAAGTTAACAAATGAAATACTAGAATTGAAATTACAGACAGAAATGAAATGATAGTGTGAAGCTATTAGAGAGGCTTCACTCTCTCCTAAGTCACAAGATTCTCAATTCAGACTCAAGGTGCCCTCCCCCCTCAACAGCATCGTTCCTTTATTTCCTCCACTCACGTCCTCGTGCGTTCCACCATTCTGTTGCAACAGAATTGCCAATTGGTTTGCTGAGTCAGTAATTGGGATTGGGCCTTGGTGGATTGGGCTTTCATCAGCAACTTAAGTGGCCAACCAAACTCTTCTTTGCTTGTCCCTCTTATAAACTTGACTGGGCTTGGGTTTGTTGGGTTGGGTCTTATCAATACTCCCCCCCAATTGAAGCACCTTGTCCTCAAGGTGGAAGTGAGGGAATTGGGTGTTGATGACATCAAATGGCTCCCACGAGTTTTCAAACTCAGGAAGGTGCAGCCACTTGAGAAGTACCTGCAAGTCTCCGTTACTGGACAGCCGCCATTGAACCAACCTTTCTGGCTCCACACAGAGCTCCCAATCTGCCGAGAGAGCAGCAGGTAAAGGCTGAGCATTGGGTATTGGAGTTATGGCTTTTTTGAGTAGAGAGACGTGGAAAACCGGATGGACCAGACAACCTTGGGGCAGCTGAAGTTTGTAAGCTGCTTCCCCAATCTTCTCCAAAACCACATAGGGTCCATAATATCTGGGGCTTAGTTTCTCATTGACCCTCCGGGCAATAGTCTTCAGCCTATAAGGCTGAAGCCTTAGATAAGCAAGATCTCCTGGAGCAAAACTGACATCCCTGCGATGCTGGTTAGCATGGACAGTCATGCGGTCCTGGGCCTGTACAAGATTCTGTTTCAGATCAATGAGTATTTGATCCCTGGCATCTAATGAGTTAGAGAGAGCATCAACTGAAGAAGAATAATGCTCTCCCTTCAACAGGTGAGGTGGGTCTCGGCCATAGAGAGCCTTAAATGGGGTCATGCCTGTAGTGTCTTTGTAGGTGGTGTTGTACCAATACTCGGCCCAAGGGATCCATTTAACCCATTGTTTGGGCTTGGGCCCGCAGAAACATCTCAAGTAAACTTCCAAACACCTATTGACTACTTCGGTTTGGCCATTAGTTTGGGGATGGTAGGCCGTGCTATAGTGTAATTTGGTGCCTGCACTTTTGAATAGATCTGCCCAAAAAGAGCTCATGAAGACTCTATCTCTATCTGAGACAATGGTGGCAGGAAACCCATGAAGTCGCACGACCTCTTTCACAAATAATTCAGCAACATCTTTGGCTGTATAGGGGTGTTTAAGAGGCAGAAAATGTGCATACTTAGTGAGGCGATCCACGACAACTAGGATCGTATCAAATCCCATAGCTTTGGGCAATCCCCCGATGAAATCCATCGATATATCAGCCCAAACCTTGTCCGGAATTGGCAAAGGTTGTAACAGCCCTGCTGGGGTCAAGTTCTGGGCCTTACTTTGTTGGCAAATAACGCAGGCTGCCACATAATTCTGGACTGTCCGTTTCATACCTTCCCAATAGACCAAACCATCCAGCCTCTTATATGTTCGGAAGTATCCAGAATGTCCTCCAAATTTGGAGTCATGGAATTCATGAAGTAAGGTAGAAATAAATCTTGAAGTTTTTGGTAAAACTAACCTCTCATTGTAATACAACTTGCCCTCCCTCAACGAAAATCCTGGGTGAGCTTGTTTATCCAAGAGCAGGTTTTGCACAATGCTCCTTAGCCTACTGTCCGCGTGCAGTTCAGATTCTAAATCCTCCAACGCTGGTAGCTGAAGCCGAGTGATACTGGCCAGCTGCTCTTGTCTAGAGAGCGCATCAGCAACTAAATTTTCCTTGCCCGGGTAATACTGAATCTCAAAGTCAAACCCAAGTAATTTCACAGCCCACTTTTGTTGATCCTCATTTAGTACAGCTTGATCTGTCAAAAACTTCAAGCTCTTTTGGTCCGATTTGATGATAAAGTGTCTCCCCATCAGGTAGTGCTTCCATTTCTGCACCGCAAAGACTATGGCCATGAGCTCTTTCTCATATACCGATTTTCCTTGCGCTCTTGATGAGAAACCTTGACTCAAAAACGCGATGGGCCTGTTATCTTGCATCAAAACAGCCCCTATCCCCTTTCCTGAAGCATCTGTCACCACGGTGAACAGCTTGGCAAAGTCAGGCATTGCCAAAACAGGCACCGTACACATCTTCTCCTTTAATAGTTCGAAGGTCTGCTCTGCTTCAGTAGTCCACTGGAAGGCGTCTTTCCTGAGTAACTCTGTCAAAGGCTTTGCAAGCTTCCCATAGTCTTGCACAAACCTCCGGTAGTACCCTGTGAGTCCCAGAAAACCTCTCAACCCCTTGATATTCTTGGGCACTGGCCACTCTCTCATCGCCTAGACCTTTTTTGGATCGGCACTAACTCCTTGGGCTGTTATAACATGCCCCAAATACTCCATCTGATCCTTACCAAAGCTGCATTTCTTCCTGTTGCATACCAAAGAATGAGACCGTAAAACTTCGAACACCAAACGCAAATGCCCCAAATGTTCCTCTTTGCTTTTGCTGTATATCATTATATCATCAAAGAACACAAGCGCAAACTTCCTCAGAAAAGGTCGAAGAACGTCATTCATAAGAGCCTGGAATGAAGAAGGGGCGTTCGTCAAGCCAAAGGGCATTACCAAGTACTCGTAATGCCCTTGATGCGTCCTAAAAGCTGTTTTAGGTATATCTTCCTCACGCATCCTGATTTGATGGAACCCGGACTTCAAGTCGAGTTTGGAAAAAACCACTGACCCCCCAAGCTCATCCAGCAGCTCATCAACGACAGGAATGGGAAATTTATCTGGGATGATCAGTTTGTTCAGGGCCCTGTAGTCAACACAGACCCTCCAGCTCCCGTCCTTTTTCTTGACAAGGATCATTGGGCTGGAATAGGGACTGGTGCTTGGTCTAATCAACCCATCTCCTAATAACTCAGCCACCAAAGTTTCTATTTTAGATTTTTGGTAGTGGGGGTACCTGTACGGTCGTATATTGGGTGGCACGCTTCCTGGCTTCAGATTGATTGCGTGATCTTGATCCCTCCGGGGTGGTAGCCCATGTAGCTTCTGAAAGACAACCTCGAACTCGGCCAGCAACCCATCCAAGGCTTCCCACGGCAAGCTATCCCTTGTTCGCTCCTCCTCCTCTGATTGCAAGAAGAATCCTTGACCTTGGTCATGCAAGGCTTTAACCACGGATTTCAATGATGCCTCAGAACGGAACAACGATGGGTCTCCCTTGATGGTTACTTCCTTATCTCCACTCACATACTTCAGAGTGAGGTCCTTGAAATTTGCTTTGACCTCACCGAGTTGGGTCAGCCACTCCAGCCCTAACACAACGTCTGCACTCCCCAAATCGAATATGTAAAGATCTTGAACAATAATGGTACCCTGAAGTGAGACACTCACCTCCTTGCACACCCCTTGACAACAGACTATATGTCCGTCCCCAACCTCCACGTTGTAAGACTGGGTTGCGGTCACGCATAAACCAAGTCTCTCTGCCACACCTCTTCCTATGAAATTGCTCGAGGCTCCACAATCCACCATCACGATGACCTTCGAACCTTGAATGTCCCCCCAAACCTTAAGTGTTTGGTTTGAAGCGAGCCCTAGCAAAGATTGTAAGGATAGGTGTACGGGTGTTGCTTCATCTCCCTCTGGCGAACCTTCTACTTCTGGTTCGGTGAACTCGGCCTCGACTGCCTTCTCTCCGTCTCCACCATCTTCCTCTACGATCATCACCTGAAGCTGTTTGAACGGACACTTATGAGAGGGATTCCACCGCCCGTTACATGTAAAGCAAAGTCCCTGGGCTTGACGTTCCCTGACCTCCGCCGGCGAGAGTCGCCGGTTGCTGCTTGCTTGACCTTCGGTCGCCAGCCCAGCACCGCCGCTTGGAGTGGTGGTGTTAGGGGTACCCTTCGTGGCCGCCATTCTTACTTGCTCATCGTTTGGTGCCCTAGGTGACTGATGTGCATTTGTGAAATTAGTTTGACCCGTACTCCGACCCGGTTGAGGGGAAGTAAGTGTACTCGACCCGCTCCATTGTCCTCCTTTGTTGGCATAGTGTCCAGCCCAATTGCGTTGGGTTTGATTACCCTTTCCTGACCCAACGGGCCCGTATCGTCCCACGGCCCCCACACCTTCCTCCTTCAGCGCATCATTTCTCCGTTCGATTTTGAGAGAGAACTTCATCATCTCAGAGAGGCTGATGTCTGGGTTCATCATTAACTCCTCACGAACGCTGCCCCTGACTCCATTGAGCCATGCCCCCTTCAACACATCTTCATCATCAAAACGTAAAGCTCCAATCACCTTCTCAAAGTCGCTTCGGAACTCTGCCATCGTACCTGTCTGCTTCATCGTATACAGAGCCCTATAAGGGTTGTCTAGAGCCTCTGGTTGGAACCTACTCAACACTTCTCGCCGGAAAAATTCCCAGCTCACATTTGGGTTGTTTATTTCCCACCATAGATACCACTGCAAGGCTTCCCCTTCCAACGCCACCATAACGGAAGCTAACTTGTCGTCTTCCATCATTCCATTGACGTTAAAGTACCTTTCCACTCTATTTACCCATCCGTATGCGTCCTCGCCGCTGAACAGAGGGATCTCTAAGCGACGGGACATAGAGGTTGCTGGGTTAAACCTCCGTCCGTGAAACCCGGGGTTTTCTCTATTTAATCCGTCATTCTCTTCGTGAGAACCATTCCGTCGTGGCCTAGCCATTTCTTCCAGTCTACGAATGATCTCTGCGATTCCTGTTTCGCTAGTTTCCACCCTCCTGAGTATCTCAACATTTTGAGCCTCATTCCTGCGCAGCCTTTCCTCCATAGCTTCAATTCGATTTTCCATGTTCCTGGTGACAACCATTCCACAGAGCTCCTAGATCGGAGCTCTGATACCAATTTGATACAGACCAGCCAACAATCACACTAAAACAAATAGAACAATAATACGAAATGCAACTATATTGATTATAATCTGTCCAGAAACAGTATTACAACAACCACTCTTCAGTCTTAACAACAGTAACAAGCATGAAAGGGAAATTACAGAGTCACATAGCTCATTTCTTCATTACACTTCAACAAAATAGAAATACTGGAATTGAAATTACAAAGCAGAAAGGAAATGATAATTGTGAAGCAGTTGGAGAGGCTCCACTCTCTCCCAAGGTCCAAAGTTCTCAATTCAGATTCTCGATGCCCTCCCCCCTCAACAGCATCGTTCCTTTATTTCCTCCACTCACGTCCTCGTGCGTTCCACCATTCTGTTGCAACAGAATTGCCAATTGGTTTGCTGAGTCAGTAATTGGGATTGGGCCTTGGTGGATTGGGCTTTCATCAGCAACTTAAGTGGCCAACCAAACTCTTCTTTGCTTGTCCCTCTTATAAACTTGACTGGGCTTGGGTTTGTTGGGTTGGGTCTTATCATATTCCTACTTCTATTGGCAATCTTACTATGTTATCTGAAGTTTATCTAAGCGCCAATAAATTTGAAGGAAGCATTCCACTTACCCTTAGATATTGCACTCAGATGCAGTCATTTAGTGTTTCTGACAACAACTTAAGTGGTGATATACCTAATCAAACATTTGGCCATCTAGACGGTTTAATAAATCTTGACTTATCCAACAACTCTTTCACTGGTTCTATTCCTTCAGAGTTTGGAAACTTCAAGCACCTTTCCATATTATATCTATCCGCAAATAAGTTGTCCGGTGAAATTCCCATTGAACTTGGCGTTTGTTTGGCATTAGCTGAGCTCGTGCTGGGGAGAAATTTCTTCAGTGGAAGTATACCTTCTTTCTTGGGCTCTTTAATATCCCTCGAAATCTTAGACCTTTCTCACAATAACTTCTCAAGCACAATCCCCCGTGAACTAGAAAAGCTTATATTGTTGAATACTTTGGACTTGTCTTTTAACCATCTTTATGGTGAGGTTCCCGTAGGAGGTGTCTTTAAAAACATCACAGCATTTTCACTTATTGGAAATAAGGATCTCTGTGGGGGCATACCTCAATTGAAGCTGGCTGCATGCTCTAGGTCGCCCTCAAAGAAACACAATAGGTCTCTTAAAAATAAAGTTATCCTCATCATTGTAATTGGCGGGGTTTTGATCTCTTTCATTGGATCTATTAGTATCTTCTATCTCAGGAAAAAGCCCAAAAAGTTATGTTCTTCATTATCTCTGCAAAATAAGTACTTGGGGGTGTCGTATGGACAGTTACATGAAGCAACCGACGGATTTTCTTCATCCAATTTAGTGGGCACGGGAAGCTTTGGTTCTGTATACAAAGGAATTCTTCTCCATTTTGAAAGACCGATTGCTGTTAAGGTGTTGAATCTTGAAAGACGTGGGGCATCAAAGAGTTTCAAGGCTGAATGCAAAGCTCTGGGAAAGATCAAGCACCCAAATCTTCTCAATATCCTGACCTATTGTTCAAGTGTTGATTATAATGGTGAAGATTTCAAGGCTATAGTTTTTGAGTTCATGCCTAATGGAAGTCTAGACAGCTTGTTGCACAGCAATGAACATCGCGAGTCTAGAAATATAAATCTCAACCTTTTACAAAGGTTAAATATTGCTCTAGACGTAGCCCTCGCATTGGAATATCTTCATCGTGATTCCGAGCAAGCTGTAATTCACTGTGATATAAAGCCAAGCAACGTTCTTCTTGACGATGACATTGTTGCCCACTTGGGAGACTTTGGGTTAGCTAGGCTACTTCATGGGGACATGGGGCGAGCCAATAGAGATCAAGTTAGCTCCTCTGCAGTTAAGGGAACCATTGGATATATTCCCCTAGGTAAAGTGCTTTTGATCCCTTCCTATCCTTTAAAATGTTTCACATATGCTTGTGAATAACCTTGTGTAGAATCAACAGTAAAAGTTATCTTGCATGTTTACTTCGTGTTTTTTTAGTAAATTTGTCGTCATTTAGATTAGACAGGATTGTAGTTTTTAACGTTGACTATGACAATCGATCCCTTCAAATTCATTCTACTAAAAATGATTCGTTCATACTCAACATGTGACTGAATTTGATATACTCTTCTTTTTTGTCTGAATAATTGTTGTTGGAACAGAGTATGGTGCAGGTGGCCCAGTATCACCACAAGGAGATATCTACAGCTATGGGATTCTTCTTTTGGAGATGCTCACCGGAATGAAACCAACAGATAGCATGTTCGGTGAGGGTCTAAGCCTACACAATTTCTGCAAGAGAGCAATTCCAGAAGGAATTATTGAGATAGTGGATTCATTTTTGGTTATGTCATTTGTTGAAGAACGGAGAGACGTGATGCAACAAAAAAATATAGAAGACAACATTAGGGAGTGTCTGGTGTCTTTTGCTAGGATTGGGGTTGCATGTTCTGCCGAATTCCCCGCTCAGAGAATGTGTATAAAAGATGTTATAATGGAGTTGCTTGCAATTAAACAGAAGCTGCCCCGCTAGGAACCATTGTTGTAATAAGAAATTACCTGCGTTACTACAATTCCTATGTAATGATGCACCAGTTTCCGTAGACTTCTACTTTAACCAATCTATAGAATATAAGTGTGGTCAACAAATATTAGCATGTGCTTGCAGATTAGAGAGAAGTTTAGGAGGGAGAGAAAAGAAAATAAAGTGCTCAAAGTAACTGTTTGTGTTCTTATTATCCTATCCTTTGTATCGGTGTCTAGTATTAGAAATGGATTTTGCTTGAATTTATATTTGAAATATTTGGTCTTTCCTATTGCCAATACAAATGCAGAACTGAACTCTACTCAACAAGGTGGCTTTACTTCACTTAGAATGTGGATCAATTGGTAACGAATTATACCAATTTAACTAACGATTTAAAATTCAAATGCCTAGAAAAAGAGATTGAGACAAAAATTTATGTTAAAACATAATTTAACCAGAGACATTATATTTACAACTTCTTTTTTTCTTATAATTTCTTACAACCATTTTTATTGTTATTGAATTAAAATGTTTACGAAATGACATCAGATGAGAGTTGTTGATTTAATTTTGATCCAATAATTATAAAAATGGTTGTAAGAAAAAAAATGTTGTAAATATAATTTATCCCTAATTTGATTACATGTTTTACCATTTAAATATATTATTTATTGAAGAAACTTAATTTATATACCAATTAAAATTCAAAGGGGCAGGATATTCTTACACCGGTGTAAGAGTTAGAAGTCTTACACTCAATCTTGACCATTGATCCACTTGTATCCAATAGCTCACATTACTAAAAAATTTGAGCCCTTAGATATAAGTGGGATTAACGGACAAGATTAAGAGTGTAACTTACACTGGTGTAAAATGATCCTAACCCAAATTCAAAACATGCAAATCACAATTCCTTTTTTTTTGTGGAAATATTCCAATCGGTTCATTGCTTCGCAACTAATCCCCGATTCGGGGCAGGTCCAGGATTAAGACTTTAAACTCATCCCAAATGTGGTACTGAAGAAATTCGAACTCATGCTCTCACCCCTACCTGCTTAATTCTCATGCACCAAGCTGAGCTACCACCTTTGGTTGCAAATCACAATTCCTTGATGCATAGCAGTTTCTTATATATTGACGCGCAAGTAACACGCAACGATGGTCATTGACTCATTGATTGACTCCTAGTCACACGGCAGTCTTTGTTTTGCGCGTGAGAAATCAAAATTTGGGAAAGGAGTCAATTTGTCACCCTTGTTATAAGACTGGTTATTTTGAACCCCTAATACTTTAATTAAATATATGATAAATATATAAATAAAAATAATATGATAACTAAAGTGATATAAATGCTTAGCATATTACTTCTCTTCCTTTATCTGCAAGATTGGAATTCCAAGAATATAAGTGTAATGTTATAGAATATTTTATAACAATTTTCAAATACCGGTTCAACCAAAAACTTGATAATGTTTATGGCCAATTCACCGAGAGTTGTATGCATGGCCGATCAATGAACTGGACCAGTTAATGGTCCAATTCCAATAGCCACTCAGGCGTACATGCTAATATTGAATTACAAAGATTTTTAAAAAAAAGTTACTCAAACCGATTTAAACTGTATCTAATTTTATTATACTTTTAAATCCGAAAGACAAGTTCTTAAATTTTCTTAAGCTTCTAAATCGACTACTTCACACATAAGTTAAACAAAAACCTTTCATCACACTTCTTATAATTATTTGTTAATAAGCATAATAATCTCTGATTTGCTGACATTACTTACATAGAATCATAATTTTTTTCAATTTAATTTTTATAATCAATTATAAAATTTCCTATTTTTTGAAAAGTAAAAAAGGAGAAAATTTAAAATTTCCTTTACGTTAATCAACCCAAGCAAGTAATGTGATAACTTATTTTAACATAATCAGTAGAGAATGACATTTGTAGGTTTTAAAAAGCTTAAGAAATTCAAGCGGGTAGCAGATTCAAAAAATTTCAAGAGGTTGCTTTCAAAATGCTGAATGTCTTCTATTTTGAGATAAATGTATTTTCAATACGGTAATTTTATTTGAAGTAGGATATTCGTACTATCAATTTTTTCTACTATCACTCCACTGTCACTCTAATCACCATTCGATTAGAGTAAAAGTTAAATGAAGAGAGAGAAAAGAAAAAATAACTTTTAAATCCAATGGTGATTAGAGTGGTAATTGAGTGATAGTAAAAAAAATTGGTAATATGAATATCCTACCTCATGTTATTTATATATAAAACTTTCTCATTTAGATATCAACACCATCACCTATTTTTGCCTTCTTTTTTATTTTAAAGTAAGAAAGAAATTCGATCAGTAGTTTAGATCTCCTATGAAGATCCTACTTCATTTGAGCATAATGCACTTATCTGCCAATAGCAAAATGATGCCTCTTGATGATGTTTCTTCTTATTATTGTTTCACAAACCTTGATGTACATGATACCAACTACAGTTGTTCTTGCTTTGAGTTCAGAGACTGATAAGCTAGATTTGGTGGTGTGTTGCCAGATCTTATATGTAACTTGTCTACCCATCTTAATGAGCTTACCATGGAGAACAACCAAATATCTGGAATGATACATGAAGGAATTGGACAACTAATCGGATTAAATATCTTTACCATAACAGTCAATTTCCTTGAGGGAACAATTCCAGATTCAATAGGAAAGCTTAAAAAACTAGGAAGATTGGCCTTGGAAGAAAACAAATTATCTGGTAATATTCCTTCTGCCATTGACAATCTTACTATGTTATCTGAAGTTTATCTGGATAACAATAAATTTGAAGGAAGCATTCCTTTTACCCTCAAATACTGCACCCAGGTGCAGACATTTGATGTTTCTGGGAACAACTTAAGTGGTGATATAACTAATCTTGACTTATCCAACGACATCTTAACTGGTTCCATTCCTTCAGAGTTTGGAACTTCAAGCACCTTTCCACATTATATCTATCTGCAAATAAGTTGTCCGGTGCTGTACTTAAAAAAAAAAAAAAAAAGTTGTCCGGTGAAATTCCCATGGAACTTGGTGCTTGTTTGGTATTATCACAGCTCGTGCTGGAAAGAAACTTCTTCAATGGAAGTAAACATTCATTCTTGGGCTCTATAATATCCCTCGAAATCTTAGACCTTTCTAACAAACAACTTCTCAAGCACAATCCCCCGTGAACTAGAAAACCTAAGATTTTTTAATACTTTGGACCTGTCTTTTAACCATCTCAATGGTGAGGTTCCCATTGGAAGTGTCTTTAATGACGTCACAGCACTTTCACTCGTAGGAAATAAGGATCTTTGTGAGGGGATACCTCAACTGAAGCTGCCTGCATGCCCTTGGTCGCCCACCAAGAAACACGAGGTCGCTTAAAAAGAAAGTCATCCTAATCATTGTAATTTGTTGGGTTTTGATCACTTTCTATAGTTTTTATCAGTATCTACTATCTAAGGAAAAAGCCCAAAAAGTTATCTTCTTCGTCGTCTCTACAAAATAGGTACTTGAGGATTTCTTAAGGAGAGCTATATGAAGCAACCCATGGATTTTCTTCATTCAATTTAATATGCACAGGAAACTTTGGTTCTGTACTCCTCCAATTCGAAAGACCAGTTGCTGTTAAGGTTTTAAATCTTGAAACACGTGGGGCCACAAAGAGTTTCATATCTGAAATTCTGAATGCAAAGCTCTGAGAAAGATAAAGCACCGCAATCTTCTCAACATCCTGACTTGTTGCTCAGGTGTTGATTATAATTTATATCGGCGAAGATTTCAAGTACTTGCAGAATAGAGAGAAGTTTAGGAATAGGGAGAGAAAGGAATAAAAAGAGCTCAAAATAACTGTTTATGTCTTCCGATGCTTTGTATCAGTGTCTCGTACTAGATCACTTGGCTTGAATTTTAAACTGAAATTTCGGTCGTTCCTACTGCCAATATAAATGGAGAACTGAACTCAACTCAATGAGTAGGTTTTGCTGAGGGAAGCTGCATCTAAACACTGTACAAAGGGATTGCTTATGAATAAAATAACAAAAATAAAGAAAGGTTCTTCCCAAATAATGATCACTCATGTTTTGTTTCTACTTTTTTCTTTTTTTAATTTTACAATGGATTGCTGAGAATAAATAACATATTAAAGTAATTAAGAATGACCTAGTATTAAAGACACCAGAGATTTTAAGAGATTTCAAGTTTGAACCTTCTTGCTACCCTGTTAAGACCAACAAGAATGATCAACTCGGTTGCTCCTACAATGCTCTACACAAACAAATTATGAAAATTTAATGCTTGTTCAAGGTCTTGAGGGTCTGTATATTGGGAAGGATTTTTGTAAAAAGAAGGTTATTTAAGCATATCTTCAAGAAAACAGTGATATCGGCCAATGATAAAACCTTCACATCAAGGCCATAGGATAGGAGTGCTTCCAGTAAGTGTAAGGAAACAAAATTTGATGTCAAAGGAGTGAAAGTGGTTTCTGATTGAGGCCAAACTATAATTTATAAACAAGTGTTTCTAATGAGAAAAAAACTGTTGAGCTCAGAATTTTTCAAGTTTGCAATTAAAAGACTTGCACTGCCGCAAATCCTACCACTCTGGATCTATGTAATCGACGAGAATTCAAACTATAGCAATCCAAGTACATAAACACAGTTTCCTTACAAGAATGAATACGATCGGCAATTAATTTGATAATATACATAATCACAGAAATAATTAACAATATAAAAAAGAAAGAGACAATTTACTGAAACATAGGCGCGTGGATTGAAGAATCGAAAAAGATCACGCACCAGGAGTGAATCGCGATGGAAATTGGAAGATTCGTTCTCTCAGCGCTTGGCGTTATCGTAATCGACGATCTCGGAATCGGTGACGGATCTGGAGTGCTGGACGATGCAGCGGCCGATGGAGTTGATCCAGTCCTCCTTCTCCTTCTCCGAATCGGCGATGAAGTACATGGTGTCGGAGCGCGTGGAGAGTTCGAAGGCGTAGGGCTTGTTGAGCACGTCCTCCGCACCCTTCACCGTGAGGCAGGACGCCACCGGTATGACGCCGCGTGGCCTGGATGCGCGTGTGACGGCGGAGTCCTTGAACCAGAAGAGCTTCCCTTGCTTCAGGACGAACCACCGCCGCCGCCACGTCTTGATGTACTCTCCTTGCTTCGTAAGCCACCCCGTGCGCTCCGGGTTCGACCAGAACTCAACGCCGTCGTAGTCGTTCGGCTTCTCCGTCAAGCCAGCCGCCGCGCGCCACAGGCTCGCCATCGGAGCTCGATTCGCCTCCGAAACGCTAAAAAAATGAAATCAGAAAATACAACTCACGCTAACCAAGAAAACCTGTCGCATTGCGTTGCTGGCTTAGCTGTACACACTCTCTCTCCCACACTTACTATTTTTATCTCTTAAAAAAAAATGTTTGTTATTGTTTGTTTTGCCTTAATATTGAAAGGAAGTATTACACACATAAAAATAAAAATATGTGAAATTCAATTTTTTTCTCTCTTTTTTTTTTTGTTCATATAAATCTCATGTGTATAATTGATAAAATTATCCTTTACAATACGATAAATCTTATATTTAGACATCAAAATTTATACTGGGGTATGCTTGGTTTTTCATGAGTTAATTATTGATTAATGTGTACTAAAAAAAATTTATTGATTAATAAAATTTATAATATATCAAAACGAGGTTTGTTTTTTCGAAATTATAGCAAAACCAATTTGGATTCAGAATCGGTTGACACACTGATCTAATTGTATAACAAAATATCAAAAAAAATTGAGCTATTTGACACTTTGACATTTTACAAACCAATATATATATATATCATTTTCGGTCGTCAACAAATTTTACGATGTCTGCTTTAGTCCCTAGCAAATAAAAAGGTTATTTGTGGTTTTTAAAAAATTCAAAGTGGACCCATTTTAGTCCATTCGTGGTACTAAAGTGGATGTTTTTTGAATTTGTAAGGGACCACAATTTTAACTAAATGGATTCATTTTTAACTTTTAAGAATCACGAATAATCTTTTTATTTGTTAGAGACTAAAGCGAGCATCGTAAAATTTGCTGAGGAACAAAAATAATATTTACTCGAAAAAAAATCCCAAACATTTGATACAAAAATCCAATAATGAGATTGAAAAGACGTTATGGTTCGTGAGTCTCTTTAATCTGAACCTGAATGAAGTAATTTTATTTGTTTGTGTGATTAGTCAATGGTTCGGTTCACTAATGTGTTATGGCTGATGAAATAAGCTTCGAAGATCCTTCATATACTCTAAAATCCAGAAACATCGTTCGAAGAAGTTCTAATGGCAAATTTTTATTATCCTCAAATGCAAAGAAAAATCTATGTACAAATAAAATGCAAAGAATAACTAAAATTAACCAAATTAGTAGAAAAAAGACTACAAAATAGCTGACAACAATAAGACCGTACTAATAAACAATTATATTAAAATAGTGTACGAAAGAAGCTGCTTTGTATGCCAAGATCAATTGTGAGAATTAAGCTTCAGAATTTTATCATCCTCAACTTTCATATTTCCTTGGTTGTTAATCCAGAATCCCACCCATTCAAAAAGTCAAAAATCTGCAAACAAGAAAGAAAAAAAACAATAACAATAAAAGAACCCGAAAACTCACCTATAATTAGAACCAAGAAAAATAATAACACCAAAATAGGGGGGGGGGGATTAATTGATTGTAATTTAAATAAAAAATTATGAATTTATTGTTGTTTTCATACTATTTACGGATCTGTTACAGGATGTCACGCCCAAATTGGGAGTGAGTGGTCACGCTTAAAATTGTAATTTAAATAAAAAAATTATGAACTTATGGTTGTTTTCGTACTATTTACGGATTTATTACAGGATGTCACGCCCAAATTGGATGTGAGTAGTCACGCCTAAAATTGTAATTTAAATAAAAAATTATGAATTTATTGCTGTTTTCGTACTATTTACGGATCTATTACAGGATGTCACGCCCAAATTGGGCGTGAGTGGTCACGCCTAAGTCACTCGAGCTTAAATTAGGCGTGCTTGTCTGATGTTGACACGTGGCACAAATGTTACCATTCTAACTGTAAAACTTCGGAAGGTCATAACTTTTGACTTGGGTATTCAAATCAGATATTTTTTTTTTGATTCCACATAACTTTTTGATATCTGCGCAATGACATCTTATTTGGCATATTTTATCTCTCACAAATACAGTTCGAATTTGCAACAATGGTACCACTATAAAAGTGCCACAATATAAAAGTGTGTGAGAGATTGGTAAGAATATAATATTCTTTTAAGTTACATAAAAAATGCAAAACTTTTGATGTATTGCATTAAGCATATTTTATCTTGTAAATGATGTTATTTAAATTTTTACTTTCCAATATTAACAAATAATTCTCCGAAAAATTTTCAGTGTATAGATATCGAAAAGTTATGTGGAATAAAAAAAATCACCTGATTCAGACTTTCAAGCCAAAAAAACCACCTGTTAATTTTTGTTTTAAAAAGAAACTACCGGAACGGGATCACATTGTTTTAAAAATCACCTGATTCTCAACAAAGACAGAGAACACACACTCTCTCACTATGTCTGCGAGCTCCTATCTCTATTCAATAGACGTTTGCTTTTCGTACTTTTTTTCACTATTTCAAGATTTTTTAAAAGAAAATTGTGTTCGGTGTTAGTTCGAAAAGAACTCAGATGCTTCTAGATTTAAACACTCTTATAGTATCATTGTTCTAAATTCGAATTGTGTTTGTGAGAAATAAAACATACTGAATGAAGTGTCATTGCGTAGATCTCGAAAAGTCATATGGAATCAAAAAAAATTATCTGATTCGAATACTCGAGTCAAAAGTTTTGATCTTCCGAAATTTTACGGTTAAACTATTAACTTTTTGTGCCACGTGTCAAAATCAGACTAGTCATGCCTAACGGGTCACGTCTAACTTAGGCGTGACCATTCATGCCCATTCCTGTAAATTCGTAAATAGTACGAAAATAGCAATAAATTCATAATTTTTTATTTAAATTACAATTAATTAATTTGTTTCCCCCCAAAATAGGCTTAAACGAAGCACAACAGTGCACAACATGGATAAAAGATCACGTAATAATTAAAACAAGAAAACTCACCTGTGTAGCAAAATATGATCCAGGTTGGATTCGAATGTACTCCTTTTCTTTGCTTGAACTTGAAGTCTCATTCTTTAAAATCTTGGGATCCCAATTACAAGGACTAAGAAAAGAGTTATCTTTCTCAAGAAAAGATGTTAGCTGTGGGGGAAGCGTAATTTCCTCCTTAGCAGAACCAACAGTCGTCAATGCACTTCTTTTCTCCACATCATCTTGTCTTGGAACTAAAATGTAATGGTCATTCATGGGGTTGAAGTTGGTAGTAGATGTGAAATGAGAAGCCATTGCTTAACTGATGCAGAAACATACGGAAAATAAGCTCAATTGGAATTGATACCGAGAACTATTGTAGGGTCTTAAATACCTTTAAGGCAAATTATAAACCAATTGGGAATATAAATCCTAAAACTGAACAAAATTTTAAATATAAAAATAAAGATAAAGATAATTATCTCCAACAAATAAAATACGTTTATAAAGATAAGATAATTGATTACAATTAAGTAGTGTGAAATTATTTTCTACAAGCAATGATGTGAAAACAAAACCAAAAATATTGTTAACAGAAAATGTAAGTTAAAATGTTGTGACTGGAAAGTTTTTTTTTTCATTTTTTTCATTTTGTTTATGTTTTAACTATTTTTTTTAATTTATTTTTTCCCGCTCTACCACCATTCGAACCTGGACCTTTTTTTAAAATTTATATAAATTATTTTGAGTTTAATCTAGTTTGTTAACCTGTTTAGGTTAAATTATAGATGAGAGTCGTCTGACTTGACATAAATCTATTAACCTGTTTAAATTTATTAAGCCTTCAAGATCTATCAAGAATTAAAAAATAACTAAAATAAATAATTATATAGGCCAAGTCTTTATGGGCTTACGAGATAGGTCATATAGAAACAAATTCTATAACCTGTTTTTTAAGACATAGATATGTTTTATTTTATTAGATATATTAAATAAAATTAGGCCTGACGGAGAAAGAAAAAAAGCACTCCATCAATCCATGTATTGTAATAGATAATTTTATTTCTTACCAAAAAAATATTAGACATATATATATATATATATATATATATATATATATATATATATATATATATGTGTGAGTTTATATTTTTTCAGTTATTTACCATATATATATAGGTGATAACATTAAATGTAAAAAATCATAACTATACACTTGTCATTGCTCGACGTCAAGTGACTAGAGAAATGATTTTACCATATATATATATATATATATAGGATCCTTTGATACCGGTGTCAAATTTAAAATTTGAGGATCCTTTGATACCGGTGTCAAATTTAAAATTTGACACCTCATCTGAGAGCCGTTAGATCAAAACAAATCGAAGACTCTGATTTGTAAACATGTGACACCATTGATTTTTTTTATGTAACGGCTATCAGATGAGGTGTCAAATTTTAAATTTGACACTAATATCAAAGGATCCTACTCATATATATATATATATATATATATATATATATATATATATATATATATATATATATATATATATATATAGGGTCAAGATCATTTTACACCAGTGTAAGTTACACTCTTAATCTTGTCCGTTAATCTCACTTGTATCTAAGGGTTCAAATTTTTTAGTAATGTGAGCCATTGGATACAAGTAGATCAATTGTCAAGATTGAGTGTAAGACTTCTAACTCTTACACCGGTGTAATAATATCCTACCCCATATATATATATATATATATATATATATATATATATATATATATATATATATATATATATATATATGAGATATGATCAACTTACAGTAAGAATAATTAATTAATGAGTGAGACCTAATAAATCTTAACCGTTAGATGTAGAAAATCAATGATTAAGATTTGGTGTAAGATTTATTATTCTTACACTGGTGTAAGATGATCCTGCCCCTATATATATATATATATATATATATATATATATATATATATATATATATATATATATATATGGTAAACATTTCTACAGCAACTTTAGATAAGCTTATCTACAACTGTCATTTTTAACTATATTCTCCCGGGAGAATATAGTTATAACGTTAAAGTTGCTTTTTTCTCTCTCTCTCTCCTCATTTACTTTTCAGAACTTTTTTTGCTGACGTGGAGAAAGAGAAAAGAGCAACTTTAACGTTATAACTATATTCTCCCGGGAGAATATAGTTAAAAATGACAGCGATAGATAAGCTTATCTAAAGTTGCTGTAAAAATACTTTTGCCTATATATATATAATCACGCCTAGATTAATCAACCATCTTCTATTATTTCATAGTTATATAAGTTTATCGTCATAAACTTAGTTTAAACTTTCTTGATTTGTCTTCTACATTTTTAAATTAACCTTATACGTTTTAATCATTCTTATTTTAAAGGTGGCCAGCTGAGAAAAATAGTTGATATTAAAATGTTTCAAAATATATTTGGAAAAATTAAGTACGAACAAAAATTAGTTTACTCAAATAAAATTAGTTCACCAAAAAAAAATAGTTTACGCAAGTGCTATCATGCCTAAGCATGTTACTTGACAGATCTTTTATATATTTTTTACTTCAAATTTTTTTCCAACATCCTAGTTCCTAATTCTCATGATGCGTTCCTTCACTGCTAAACTTTGCTCCTTAATATTTGAATAAAGGAAAGTCTAATGTAATCACAGTCCAAAAGCTACAAAAGATAAGGTTTTGACTGATCAGCCCATTGTTCATATTATATAGGACACACCATGGCTTATTAACAGAAAATAACTTTATAAAAATGGGGAATCAAAGTAGCAACTATCTCAGTCTCTCTATCCGTGGATAACGAAGTTAATTATTGTAAGTCCCATGACAGAAGTTGAGTTGAGATTGATTATGTGAAGCAATGCCACATCATTCCTAGCCTTTCCTAAAATACAGTTTTCGTGTGAAATAACAATACTCAAGTTAACAAAATAATAATAATAATAATAACAATAATAATAAAATTGAGTATTACCATTTCAGCATATTGCCTATCTATACCTAAAATCACAAATACATTCAATTACACAAGGTAACATCACTTCCAATAAACTTTACATCAATAGAGGCATGGTTAGCTCCATATGAAAATCCACTACGGCTGATAGTCAGGATCAGAATGGTTGTGCAATTAAAATGTAGGCAGATGATTCCCCAAAGTGAGAGCTGTTTACCTGCCCCGCACATTGGCAGGTGATTGACCACCACTCTCGCTGACAGTATCATCATCTATTTCACTATTATCTATGTTTACACTCACCTCGGAGCTAGCATTACTGCTAGTGGCATGAGGAGAGTCTGAGACACTAACAGCTCGGCTTCGTTGAGGCCCTGACCGTATGCTATACATTGAAGATGCTGGAATGTTTGTCATCAATGGCCGTAAATTGCCAGGAACCCGTCGCCTTATATCCTGTTCAAAGAGAAGCAAGAGATGTTATTAGGACAAAAAAAACAATTTAGCAGTTATGACCATTCAATGTTAATCAAATTCAATAATTAATAAAAAAGCATGAAGGGAGATGAAGGCTATAAATGAGAAACACTTGAGTCTCCAAATTCAATCTTGAAACATCATGCATCCAATAAGAGAATAAGTGATTATACCATTTCATAGTTTTTTTTATTCAATACTGATTAAGATGCAGGTGCATTACAAGTTTTATCCAAATACAATCTTGAAGGAAGATGAAGGCTATAAATGAGAAACACTTGAGTCTCCAAATTCAATCTTGAAACATCATGCATCTAATATGAGAATAACTGATTATCGCATTTCATAGCTTTTTTTATACAAGAGTGATTAAGATGCAGATGCAGGTGCATTACAAGTTTACTCTCAGCTGGTAGAACAAATACAGAAAATGTGCAAAAATACATACCATATGCCTAATAGCCATATCCAAGGATTTCTTTGAGAGTGTTCTTCCAAAACCAGAGCTGTCCGGAGATGTTGAGGACTTGCCAGACAGATTACTATGGGGAGAGTTTTTGTCATCGAGCCTTGACGGTGCTAGTTTCCGCATATTAATTACCCTATCAACCATCTTGGTGCCAATAACAACAGGACTGACATTGTCATTCACTTTCGAGTACCCACGGCTAACTGCAGGCATAGAGCTTCCAGTTGTATGAGAAATGCCATTAGAAAACCGTCCTCTAGAAGGAGAGCATGATTGCCGCCTCGGTCTGCAACCAGAAGCAGGCTCAACAGATGAAGACCGTGAAGTGGGAGCTCCAGGCCTCCCCCTTGTTGCTGACACCGGCCTTTCTGGTAGTGTTGTCCTCAAATTGGGTGGAGCATCAAGTGAAAAGCCAGGCATCTCAGATGGCTTCCATGGTCTTGATCTCACTGTTGGTGAAGTGCCACGTGATGCAAATGGCTGCCTTGACATCACTGGAACTGGCTTTGATATTGAAGAAGTCTTAACTGAAGGAGCAGATGTGGTGGGTGCATTTGACGGAGTAGATGGTCTGTGTGTTGGAGTTGATGCCCTTGATGTGGACCTGGGTGCAGGTAAGGTAGGCCTGTTAGTAGGTGTTGAAGATCTTGCAGTAGATCTTGATAAAGTTGTAGAGGATCTAGATGGAGGTGTGGGCTTAGCTGCAGGGACTGTAGTCTTAGAGGCAGAAACTGCAGTCTTAGTAGCAGAAACCACAGACTTGGCGGTGGAAACTGTGGTCTTGGTTGTAGCTACCGTTGTCCTAGTTGAAGGTAAGGTTGCACGAGAAGTAGGTGTTGAAGGTCTAGATGATTTTGAAGCTGTGGTCAATGTAGGTCGTCCAGTGGGAGTTGCAGGTCTTGATCCTGGATACCCGGATGATGAGGGCCTCCTAGTTCCACCACCTGAAGAGGTCAACCCCGGGGAGGAAGCTGGTTGTTTATATACTACGTTGCTCCTTCCAGTAAGCTCTGCCGGAGGATTTGCCAACTATACCGCAGGGAAACAAATATAAGACAAATGACTTTTGACTACTAGTATGAAAAGAAAAAAATTAATTCTGCTATTATGAACTATTAGTTAAAGCATAATCAGCTATTACTTTGGAAATATTAAAATAGATACAGAGCAACATTTTTATGATTTTATCACTGTAAAAAGTTTTCCCTACATAGTTTTAATAAAAGAAGATATTTATTCAGAAAAATAGAAAAAATTACAAAAGCCTAATAAGGCCATGAATTTCACACCAAAAGCCTAATCTTATCCCAAACCAAGCGATGTACCAAAGAAATCTCCTTAAAATACGAGTTCTAATCCAACCAAATGCACCAAATTGTAGTATAGATTGCACATTGCCATAAAAATTTAGGGTCTGTTTGAATTTTATTTTGTTATTCAATACTATTTTGTAACATAGATTTTCAAAATTGACTTTAAAAAAAAAAAAAAAAAAAAACTTGTTTGAGTATAATTGAATCTAAAGTTAAAAAAAAGTTGGATTTTCTCACCAAAAAATGGCATTAATAAACCTTATAATTATAAGATTGCCACCATAAAACAATCTAAAATCCAAAAAAGCTGGATTTATTTAAGAAAGTGCCATTAATGAATCTTCATAATTACAAAACTGCCGGTGCATAAACAATAAAACCAAAAAACAATTTTTCACACCATCTCTAAGTTGTTCTCCAATTTTAGTTTTAAAAACTAAAAAACAGCTATTGTTTTGAGAGTCATTTTTACAAAACAACCCTTTTCAAACAAGTTATATTATTTTTTTATTCTAAAAACTAAAAAAAGTGTTTTTCAAAATGGAAATCAAACAGGCACCTAGCCTCTATATACTTCTACCAAAACCGTTGACATGATCCAAAACATTCAATAAAATTGCTTACTCTAGATTTTAATGGTGTGGGACGTCTAGTTGGAACATCAAGTTGACTCATAACAGTTTTTTGAGCTTCCATCTCCAAAGAAGGAAAAAGGGGAGTCCCAGGAGGAGTTAGAAGCCTGAAAGGACAATAAGCATGCTAAGCCCCAATTTGAACAATAATCATTCCACTTACGTCTATGCAAAGTTATGTCAGTCATATACATAGCAGCTGACTAAAAATATAATATTAGCTTTAATAATGAGAAGTTATGTCTGGAAATTAGTGTTCATTAATTTATTTCTCATTAAGTCACACACACAGAACATCTATGCAAGAGCTTTGTTAATGTTAGTATTTTCAGTATGGAAACGTGAAGATATAAATAACGAATAAGAATGAAATCAAAAACAAAATTGACAACAGTGACATAAAAGTACTAATAATTTATGAACAAAAGAAGGAATTATCTACAAATGTTAATTGTTAAGTCCAATACATTACCAAATTAATGAGTAGGAGTTTTGAAAATATGCTAAATGCTGATGAACCTGTGATTTCTAACAATATGCCTTTAGAGCCAGGGAACATCGGGAGAAACCAGCCACTAGGCTTCAGCTTTACAATAAATAAAAAGAGTCATTATCTTTTAGACTACAAGTTGTGGAAAAAATAAGATAGTACTTTTCTCAATATCATATATAATATTAAAACCTAAGTCCTGAATGGCTGAGTCCCTGTCACATAATTTATTTCCCAAGTCCAACGAATGTATTGAAGATATCTAGACATCATTTAACCACTGAAAACTACAAATACTCCTCAGCCCCTGTCTGTGTCAACTGTCAAGGATCAAGTGTCATAGACACAATAGTCCCTTAGAATGTAAAGAACTGGAGTTAGCGTAAATGTTTAGCTCCATATCATATCATATTTTATGAAAAGAATACACTATATCCTTGGCCCCTATATTTAAGGAATAAGCTTTTGATTCTAATTCGCTTACATAAGATTAAGATATTAAATGCCAATGAGTGCTACCCACATATATTCAAGAAAAAATAAGGAATAAATGGAAACATATGTTTGCCATTATTAAATTTAAATTCATATTAATTTATTGAAGCAAATAACCAGATGACTCTTAAATTTTCTTTTTTTCTCTTTCTTGTGAGATGTTGGGGAACAAGCTCAAATAGTCAGGCCAGAGATGCCAAAGCACCAAAGTTATTCACATGAAATGTTTATGATGCTTTCATTAAATTTTACCAAAGGTTCTTTTAAATTTTTGGAAGGGAGGGAATGAACTGAAGAAGGCTTGCTAGAAAACTCAATTGAGTAAGGATATGCATAATTACATTATTAGGAGTGAATATGCAATGGACAACAAAATGCTAAGTCCACTATAAAAATGCAATTATGATCTCATCGTCCAACTTACAAATCATTATAAACAAAAAACAAAAAATTTAAACTCTATTACTGCACTAATTTACAATAAACAGAAAGGAGACATCATGGAGAAAACAGTTGGAAATGTTAAACAGAAAGGTACAAGCACATACCAGTCATAGTCATTCTTGTCATTTTCGGAATTGAGAAAATCATCAGCACCAGTCTTACACACAGGAGCTGGCGCGGATGATGAAATGTTAAATAAGGGAGAAGTGCCAGGATTTGAGCCTGCAACACGAAAGATAGCAGGTGACAAACAGAAATCCAACAACAATGGCACACTCTCCAAACAACACAACCATTTTTGCAGTTCTTCACTTCATCCACCTAAAACTACAACACAGAATCATGCTAAATTAACCAAACCACATCCCGCAAACCTTGAAAACGAAACAAGTGTTTTCCAGCGTGTTCATACCTAACGCTGCAACATCGAACTCCTCCTCGGAAGCGCGCAGCAGAAGATCGTTACGCTCCTTCTCGCGATTCCTCACCTCGAGGAACAATGCGAGCTCGTCATCTTTGTCTTTCATGAGCGACGACGACCTCAAAACCCCCAATTGCTGCTGCCTCTGTTTGAACGCAGCTTGCATTTGAGATTCCTGAGCTCTGAAACTACGATTCATCCCCAAAATCGCCCAAGTGTAGAATAATAATTAGGGTTCGAACAAAGAACCTAGCTCAGTTCCCTCGTTTACGTCAACAACACCATAAAAAAAAATTAATTAAATTAAATAAAAAGCCCTGTGTGAAAACGTGAGTGTAGCGCAAAGTTCAAAATATTTGGAGAAAAAAACAAAAGTGGTATGGTTTTAGGTTAGGTCGAATGAGAAGGCATTGTGAGAGAAAAGGAAGAAGGGAGAGGGAGCATTGGGGTTCCAGAAAGTTCGATTGGGTAAAACGGAAGGAGTGGCATTGAGAGGTAATAAAAGCGAAGTTTGAAGTGGGAAATAATGGGGATGATGGAGGGAGGGAGGGAGAGAAGAACAGATGCCGTGCGGGTGGTGTTGTTTCCATCACTTAAAGCCTACGTTACATGGTTGATGAATGGTTGGGTGATAATCACCATAATACTCACTTTTTTATATATTATATTTCTCTTTTTGAATCTTTTCCAATGGTGACTTCGCATCTCTGCACTCATTCAAGCAACAACCCCTCAAAACAGTTTTTTGTATTCTTGCTTCTTCTTCTTCTTTTTTTGTCGTGAATAATGCTTCTTTTCTTGCATGTCACCCTTACTATCCTTAATAAATCTTTAGTGTTACTGTTGCACTTAAATTTATTGCATTTCATCAATGGGAGCATTATACATTAGAGAAGAAAAAAAAAATTAACATAAAAAAGAGAATTTTAATTAACATGTAATACTTTTATTAGTGGGATATACTGAATCTTTGGTACAACCATAGCACAAAAATTTATTCCTTTCTCATAACTCTTTCGCATAAGGAATAAGTGACCACCATAGAATATAGATTTGTGAAAAAATTAGAGAGGACCCTATGTAATTAGACGGTGAAAGTAAAGTAACATGTCTAGCATTTTTTTTGGTCGTAATGTTGCATTTATTTTTACATTTCTTTATCAGTTCATCAATTAATCGATTAATTCGATCGAGTCATATAGGATCACAAAGAAAATAAAACTCTTTCAAGTAAGTTTTAATACAGTTAAATATAATGAATCGAACTCAAGATTGGTTAATGTGGAACAATCATTCTTTGCATTCATTCACCTTATGTCACTTGTATTACTAAAAAAAAATGATAGTGTTTGGTTTATTCTCTACTTTTCATTGTTAGATAACATATTTTGAATTTCAGATATAAAAATATCACAATATTTTTATTTTGTTTTTTGTTTTCATCATTTATTTTTACAAAACTTTGAGAATAAGTGATGGGTCATCTTGAGCGTTCCTGGTTAAAGCAGTCCCTTGTTCCACTGTTTTTTGAGTCAGTATTGGGTTGAAAAATATAAATTGTTAAGGTATTGGGCTGATTGAGAATAAAGAGAAAAATATTGTAATTGTAGTGCAAAGCCCAATACTAACGGATAAAAATTAAGAAAAAGACTTGCACTTCATATTCGCCCAGTAACTTACTCACTTTCTCTTTTTCTATTATACAGACAAATTGTAAAAACAAGAAACCCAAGAGCCCACTACTCCACAAAAAGCAAATTTGAATGGTGATGATGGGTGTAGGTTAGCTTAGTGGTAAAGGGCGTGAATAGTTATATAATAGATTGTATGTTCATTTTTCAGTGTATCCAAAAAAAAAATCTCTCCAAAGTGGATGGGCATATGGAGGAAAGAGAAAAAGGAAATGACAACTAGCGAGTTTTTTTTTTTCATTTTAACCTGTGCTTTGTTTTATAATTCCTTTTTTTAAATCCTAAAAACTTTCCCCATAAATGTACCTACAGCATTGGATGGAAATGAAAAAGGAAAAAGAAAGCTAAAGTCATTGATGCAAAAATGAAAAAGAGAATGTGTGCCTAGAATATAAAAAGGGGGGATTTTCCAATTAAGAGGAGCTTCCCTTTTTGGAGGATTTCAGAATTCATTTCCTCACAATTTTCTTCTTCATCTTCTTCCTCCAAACATGGCAGTACCCGTCACCATTTCACTGTTTCTCGAGCTGCTATTTTGGGATTTTCATCTTCATCCTCAATGTTTCATTTTTTTGTTGTTGAACTTTCTGTTCTTCTTGTGATTTCTTATTCTGTAATGGAGTTTGCAATCTGTAGTTTGTTTATTTCATTTTCAGCTATGCCATTAAGCATAAGCTAACTTGTTTTAGGAATGGAGAATTGTAGTACCCAATGATGTAATCTTTAAAATTATATTGTCTTTGATTTTAATAGCTTTTAATTTGATGGAAATCAATTATGTTGAGGGTATGACTTCTAGAAAGAAGCTTATCCTGACACAAAGGCGTTTGTCGAGGGATGAATCTGCTTTTACAAAGCTCATTTGTTGCCTCCAGAATAAGGAACAACTCGAGTTCCTTCTTACAGGTCTTGACTTGAATCAATTCCGTTAGGAACAGAACCGCAAGGGAATGCGTGGTTTTATAAAACTGGCAGTCCAAGAGCATGAGGAATCTGGCAATGAAAAGTGATATGAACAATTTCATTGTATTAAGGCACCGAGCCAAGATTGGAATTGCAGCATGAGGAACAAGAAACTTGTTCTTGACTTCTTTATTAGTGTTCCTTGGTTTTAACTATATGGAAAATGCATTTATCATCTTACATGACAAATCAATACTTGTTAAGTTGTCATGTTAAGAAAACGACAAGTTAAATTCATTGAATACTGTGTCATCTCACTTTTGTCTTTTTCTTAACAAGACAACTATTCATTTGTCATGCAACATGAAAAATGCATTTCCCTTTCGCTATTTCACTATGTGTTTTGTATTTGTCTATGTTGTACAATGAGAAATTGATCATGCAACCCCCTTATAATTATGTATTTCTTGAATACATAATTATAATATTAAAATTATTTTTTTCTTTATTTCCACATCAACCAACAAGTTCAGAAAAGTGATTGAAAGAGAAAAACAACAACTACATAGTTATAATAATAAAGTTGCAGGTTTCTCATCGTGCATCATTATTCTTATCCCTTTCATTATAGGGGAAAAAACATCTACTGTCACTGTAGATGATTTCTCCTTATGCAACAGACTCAAGAAAAAATTTCATTTATTTTTTATTCTTTTTAAATGATAGGCCCTAGTATGATTTTGTTTCCGCGGGAGAAGATAAAATTTTACCGTCAGAGCAGAGATAGAAAGCCCTTCATTATATACTGTTATTTCATTTCCGGAGTTTTAAAGAAAAACACAAAAAGATAAACTTCATATACCATTAACATTTACATGAATGTTCCTCGTTTACTTGCTTTATTAGTCTTATTTTACATAAAATATTTATCTTATGTTATATAGAGAAAATAGATAGATTTCACCATTATAAGAAGAAAAAAAAAAGGATAAGATGCAAAAATCAAAGGGAAAGAACATAAGAAAAGTTATCTTTATATGAAAGAGAATAATATTTCCCGTTACTTATTATACTGTAAATATTCATAGATTTCATAGAATACAAATCTGTTAATCAAAATCAAGATAACTTTCCCTGTGGATACGACAATCATTTATTACTAAGGTGATTCGCACGCCAACAATAAGAAACAAAATAAAAAAAAAAAACATAAAAAAAAAACTAATTTTTTTTATTTATTATTAGAAACACATCAATTAAAAAATAAAAGTAGAAAACAATACGAACACTACCCAAATGTTTAGGAGCATCCAAAATAAGTTGCTTATTTATTATTATTTTTTGAATACTAAATAAGTTGCTTATTAGCATGTAATCATATTGCATACGTTATACGTAAGTTGCTTATTTGATCAAGCCATAGGATTTACTGCAGTGTTTTAAAACTCGAACCGGTCGAAACACTGGGTCACTGGTTCAATCAGGTTCAACCGGATTTACTGTTCACATATTAAAAATATAAAAATATTACTTATATTAATAAAAATTCACATAAAAAAACTGTCAATGAACTTCAAAAAATAAATTGATTTTCAATGATAGCAAATATTATATACTTCTAAGCTTCTAGCTCTAGACCATATCCTAATATTGGATTAAAATTGCAATATAAGTTAAATGCACCTTTTGTGCTTGACATGATACGGATAAATTAAATCATGATAACAAAAAGTATGCATGAAATATACATTAAGAAAAAAGTGTCACCGTTATCGTGATAACAAAAAGTATGCATGAAATATACATTAAGAAAAAAGTGTCACCGTTATCATGATAACAAATAGTATGCATGAAATATACACTAAGAAAAAAGTGTCCGCCGTTGAGATGAGATCATGAGACCATCACTGTTTATCACCACTTAACTTCATGAGATCATTATAAGATGTAACAAAATTACATAAACGAACTGCACTAATCTAAAATACCTTATTATTTTCACCTTACTTTTAATCATATTCATCATAAAATATGAATATGATTTAATTCAAGAATTCTTATAAAAAAAACAAAATTTACCAAAAAAAGAAAGAAAGAATAACCAGTCTAACCCAGGTCAACCGGGTCGCCGGGTTTCGGCCAGGTCAACCGGGTCGCCGGGTTTCGGCCAGGTCAACCGGTCCAATCCGGATTAACTGCAGAAGCGGTCCAACTACCTGCTCGGACCGGGAAACCCACTGGGTCACCGAGTCCCGGGTCGACCCGACTGGTCCGAGCTGAGTTTTAAAACACTGATTTACTGGCCGATGGCCTGCTTTTGCAATTGAGACTGCTCTATATGTAGTAACAAATGTCAGAATTTGGTTGATTCAGTACTCTTATATCCCATTACCCAGAAAAGAAAAACAGGAAAATATTGCTTATACTGATTGTCATTCATATAGGTTAGTACTTTATCCATCTAGATTCTATGTCAAGGGAAGAATTACGGAATAAAGATCAACCACGGATAGAGGCAAAGACTATGGTCTAATGCTTAGCAATTATGATGGGCATCAATTAGCCTTTTTTCTTGAACATGGAGCTAAGTGCTTATTGATGAAAGCTTAGAGTGGCATTGGAATAAATGTGCCTTTAGCTGCTTGAGTTTGACACCACAAGCCAATGCATCACAAATGGTAAGCCCTAATGAAGATCAATTATCTAACAAATTGAAAAACATGATCGATTAGACAAGTTTGAACATCAGTTTTTTACATCAGAATCAACAATCAAAATATTTAAATTGTGCTTTGGACAATATGCTGATTTTGCTAAATTGCCAGTTTATATCCACAAGGAAGGGGATTAGGAATGTACAATTCAATTGTCAATGGTGGGATGACTAAGCATCATCTGCATCACTTCCACCAACATGTGCTTCATGGCTGACCCAATAATTGCTGCCATCAGGACCTGACAACTTAAACCTGGCCAAAAGTAAAAACTCATATAATCCACCACATTCTTATTGCTCAAAATGACTTCATATTAGATTAACAATGTTTTCTCACACAACATTTCTACTGACCGTTCAAGAACAGATTTTCCTTCCTTGTATTTCTGGCCTTTTTCATGTGCAGTCTCCTGGAAAAAAACCAATAGGGTAACTTACTGCTACATAGAAACAGAAAAAATCATACTCTCGAAGCACTGCTACAAATCTTACATATTTCCAACCCACAATTGATCCACAACCCACACAGAAAATGTCAGCCACAGTATGCATCCCAGTGATCATATGTCTGTCCTCTAATTCTCCAGTAGAAACATTCACACTGTAAAAGAATAAAAGATTTTAAATAAACCCACGAACACAACCAACTGCAAAATATAATGTGGCTGGAGCTTTAAAGGTCCAAAGGCAAGAGGTCACAAATAACAAACATAACTGTTCTGCTTAACACTTTGGTTAATGGTTACAAGCTACAAGATCCAATTTCACCCAAATTTCTGATGATGAGAGTATAGCAATTCTACATTATTATTGTTATGTAGTTGTGATGCGCATACGATTTCCATTGGCAAGTTCTAAATACAAGCATGAGAGGATTTATGATGGACATGCATAAAACAAGAACAATAATAGCAATGTGTAATGTATATCCACAAATAAGTTCTTGGAAAAATAAAATGTCAACCAATTTCTCTTTCATTTTTTTTTTCTTTCTCATTTTTAGACAATATATTAATATTGCCAAGTTTCATCACCGATAGTCTGGACACAAATACCATAAGAGAACGTTTATTTCAGTTTTGTTAGTAATCGTATAATGATAAGGTGTGAAGATCAAGGATAGCTTACACCTTACTGAAGAGATAAGCTTTCCCATGTCTGCTGTGGAAAGACTGAATAAAACAACACAAGCAAAAATGGTAGTCAAAATATATATAGATATTACAAAAGGCCAATTAAGCATTGTTGGTCCCAATTAAAAATCACCGTAAAAAATCAAGAAATGAAAAGAATAAATTATGGAAAAGCTTAACACAATCAACATATATCTTCTTTTAAAGATGACATCCCCATTTGACCATCCGTTAGGTAGCCTAGATAAGAAGCATTTAGCAATTAATCCAAATGGAATTCCACGGGGTACTACTCATAACAGAATTGGAAAAGTATACGTGCAACCAAAGAAAGTAAAAGTATAACTAAGTGCACCAAAGCCCAAAGACAACAAGTTCCTACGCATGATTCTTGAAGTCAATGACATGTTTATACATGATCAATTGAAATACAGTACTCAACACAATCATTTTTTTTTTCCAACCAAGATTAAGTTGGTCCAAATTCTACTTAAGAGAAGCGACAATGCTCTCCTCTGCATGTAAATAGGTAAGAAAGCCTAAAGCTCTGTCACATATACTTTATTTTCACAACATATATTCACAAAAATATGAAGAATCAAAATCTGAATAGCATGGCTTTTCACAGCCTCTCCGTGAAATATGCCGAACCAACCACGTCGTAGTGGATAGCAAATTATGGAGACAGTAGAGGAGTAGAGGACATAGTTATGCTCTGGCATAAAAAAAACCAGAAATTTATCCACTTTTCCCCCATTTTATTTTAAAAAGTAAATATATGAAAAAATGAAGCATAGAGTTTGTAGTTCAGAATTAGAAAAGCAAGGGATTCAAGCAACTAGTCTATTTACTACAACAAATGGTAAACAAGAATACAATCTCAAAATTACAAAAAACAATAAAGATTTACATGCTCAAGCAAGAGTTCTTTGGGCTTAAAGCTGGCCTACTTCCATTTCACCCTGTGCATGAATTCAACTTTCTTTAAATTAGAAGGACGAAAGCACAAAGAATGAACTCTTAGCTGCTATAGGAAGCAATAAGTATTTCTAAGCTTCTAAAGAAACACACATGTTCTGGCCTTACTGCCTTAGCACATTAAGTTACGACCTGACAGTGTATCTGATATAATCAGTTAGGATTGCAACTGATATATTCAGTTATAACTGTTTGATGACAGTTGTATTCTGTTACCAATGCTTAAGCATTTAGTGAGTAGAATAGCTTAGTATATATAGCTGGCACTTGTAATACTCAATAACTAAGTTTTCATTTTCTAAATATACAAGATTACATTTTCAGTTTCTTTCTCTGAATTCTGATACCTTTCATGGTATCAGAGCACTCTTGATCCATGGAGACACTCAATCCCCAACCTTCCGCTACGCAGACCCAACCTGCAACTTTTCAGCCTTCAATTCACTATTTTTCGAATCCTGTTTCGATCAAGCTTGGTGAAGATAATTTTCTTCCCTGGAGACAGCAAGCTCTAGCTACAATCAAGGGATTCAAACTCCAGAAGTTTATCACAGTTAATAATGAAGCCGCAAGAATAGAGTATGGAGATGATCTATGGGAACAGCAAGATCAATTACTGATGTCTTGGTTGTTGGCCTCCATGTCTGACTCGACACACACAAAGATAGTTGGATGCAAAAACTCTTGTGAAATCTGGCAAAATCTTGAGGAGTTCTTTACCTCACACACAAAAGCCAAAATCAAGCAACTCAAGGTTCAGCTCAAGAACATGAAGAAAGAAGGAAGTATCTCCAAATACTTACTTCAAATCAAGAAAATTGTTGATTCTCTCATTGCTGTAGGTTCCAAAGTTTCTACTGAAGATCATATTGAAGCTATACTTGATGGCTTAGGTGAGGATTATGATCCTTTTATAATTTCTGTCACTTCAAGAACTGACTCTTATTCTGTTAATGAGATGGAAGCCTTACTTATGGCTCAAGAAGAGAGGATTGAAAAGCATAGAAAAACAGAAGGCTTGTCACTACAAGCAAATATGGCACAGATGCAATTCCAAAGATCGAATAACCAGTACAATGGTTCAAGCAGAGGAAATTTCTTTAATCCAAGAGGCAGAAACTATAGAGGCAGGTTCAATTCAGGAGGCAGAAGTTACAGAGGCAGATTCAATCAAGGAGGCAGATTTAATCAATATAGCACAAATAGCAGATCTCAATGTCAGGTATGTGGCAAATTTGGCCATATGGGATGGGAGTGCCATCATCGTTTTTCTGAAGATTACCCAAACCCGTTTTCAACTGGCCAACAAAATAACAGCAACCAGAAACTTCATGCAAATGTTGCTATAGCTAGTTCTAGTCAAACTTCTCAACAATTCAAGAATGATGATGTGCCAGATTCGTACTCAGCGTTTGATCCAGTTTGGTATCCTGATTCTGGAGCTACGAACCATTTTACACCAGATGCATCTAATCTTCTTGCAAGATCAGATTACAAAGGACAAGAGTCAGTGCAAATAGGTAATGGTTCTAATTTGAATATACAGCACATAGGTCATTCCATCCTTCACTCTCCTTTCAATTCTTTATCCTTTACCTTGTCCAATCTGCTACATGTCCCGAGTTTGTCCAAGAATTTGTTAAGTGTTTCACAGTTTGCAAAAGAACACAATGTATTCTTTGAATTTCATGCTAACTCTTGTTTTGTCAAATCTCAGGTTACCAAGGAGATTCTTCTCCAAGGAACTCTTAGAAATGGACTATATGCCTTTGATGGTGCCAAAGTTCTCAAGAAAAACAATTTGTCAACTTTCAATTCTGTTCCTTCTGCTTTGTATACACAGACAGTAAACAATAAGTCAGTTTTAGATTTGTGGCACAGTAGACTAGGACATGCTTCTTTCAAAACTGTAAAAGCTGTCCTCAATCACTGTAAAATTTCATTTGAAAATAAAATGGATGCCATCATTTGTGATGCTTGCTGTAAAGGAAAAATGCATCAACTTCCATTTCAATTGTCTACTTCCACCTATCATCAGCCTCTTGAATTGATCTTTTCTGATATATGGGGACCAGCTCCCATTGATAGCTCATATGGCTCCAAATATTACATTTCATTTGTTGATGCCTTTAGTAGATATACCTGGATCTACCCTTTGAAAACCAGATCTCAAACTTTTGTTGCATTCAACCAATTTAAAACAATGGCTGAATTACAACTTGGAACCAAAATAAAAGCTGTCCAAACGGATAATGGCAAGGAGTATTTAAAACTCACTCCTCTTCTTCAAAGTCTTGGTATCATCCATCGCTTGACATGTCCATATGCTCATCAGCAAAATGGTACACCCGAAAGAAAACATAGGCATATTGTTGATACTGCCTTGACTATTATGGCAGCATCCTCCATTCCACTAAAGTATTGGGAAGATGCCTTTATCTCTGCCACCTTTATTATTAACAGGCTGCCATCCCCAACTTTAAACAATATCTCTCCTTTTGAAATTCTATTTCACCAATGTCCAGATTACTCCTTCTAAAACCCTTTGGATGTGCTTGTTATCCATACCTCAGACCTTTCAATAAACACAAATTTGATTACAGATCCGATCAATGCACATTCATAGGTTACTGCACATCTCATAGAAGCTACAAATGCCTCACTACTTCAGGAAAAGTAGTGTTCTCTCGACATGTCCTTTTCAATGAGTTACTTTTTCCTTTTAAAACTCCCAAACTTAACCCAATCCCTGTCTCTACTCCAGTGTCACATGTGTCTGTCCCCTTTATTCCCACAACTCACATTACACCTCATCCAACAACCCGTGACCATAGTGCTGTCAATTCAACTAACACCATTAACACTATTACATTGCCTGCACCTTCTTTGCCTTTGGTTTCTTCTGTGTGCAGAATCACTCTACAGAATACTCAACCAACTTCTTCTCACTTTGATGCTCCCCTTGACGCACCTGCAGCACCTATAGAACCTATTACTGATTTACCTGCATCATCATCTACTGCCAACAACAATAAACATTCCATGGTTACTCGAGCCAAGGCTGGCATCTTCAAACCAAAAGCACTTCTCACTTCCATCGAACCTACTTCTACTGCTCAAGCCATTGCTCAACCACACTGGTTCCAAGCAATGAAGGATGAATTTAGTGCTCTTCTCCGCAACAACACATGGAAGCTTGTCTCTCTTCCTCAAGGCAGATCACCTATTGGATGCAAATGGGTTTTCAGAACAAAATATAATCCAGATGGCTCCATTTCCAAATATAAGGCTAGACTTGTGGCCAAGGGATTCCATCAAGTTGAAGGCTTTGATTATGCAGAAACCTTCAGCCCTGTAGTCAAGCCAACCACCATTAGAGTTGTTCTCACTATTGCTCTTGCTCGAAGTTGGCCTATACATCAACTTGATGTAAATAATGCCTTTCTAAATGGTGAGCTCTCTGAAGAAGTCTACATGCAACAGCCTCCAGGATTTGCTACTCCAAACACACAGCTTGTTTGTCGACTTACTAAAGCTCTGTATGGACTTAAACAAGCTCCAAGAGCTTGGTTTGCAAAACTCAGCTCTACCTTAACTAATTTGGGATTCACTTCTACCAAATGTGATAGTTCCTTATTTGTTTCTTATGCCTTTTCTGCCACTACCTTTGTTCTTGTATATGTTGATGATATCTTGGTCACAGGATCACATCCCCAAGTAATCTCTTCCCTTATTAAAGATCTGAATGCTGCCTTCTCTCTCAAAGATCTTGGTCAATTGCACTATTTTCTCGGAATTGAAGCTCATAAATCCTCCACTGGACAACTGCATCTCTCTCAGTCCAAGTATATTACTGACCTTTTGAAGAAAGCTAATATGACAGATTGTAAGCCCATGCCTTCTCCAATGATTTCTGGCCAACGTTTATCCTCCAAGGATGGTTCAGCCTTTCATGATCCTTCCTTGTATCGATCTATAGTGGGTGCTCTTCAGTATGCAACCATCACTCGTCCAGAAATAACATTCTCAGTCAATAAAGTCTGCCAATTTATGCACTGCCCCCTTGACACACATTGGAAGGCTGTAAAGCGAATCCTTCGTTACTTAAGTGGCACACTCTCTCATGGCCTTCACATTGGTCAGTCTTCTCACTTCCATCTCTCAGCCTTTTGTGATAGTGATTGGGGATCCGATCCTGATGACCGCAAATCTACTTCTGGAATTTGTATATTCCTTGGTGGCAACCTGATATCATGGTCCTCCAAGAAGCAATCAGTTGTCAGCCGCTCCAGTACAGAGGCAGAATATCGCTGCCTTGCTTCCACCATCACTGAAGTCATGTGGATACGATCTCTTCTAAGTGAGCTACATATTGGACTGATCAAGACTCCAACAATTTACTGTGACAACCTTAGCACAGTCCTTCTTAGTGCTAATCCCCTGTTTCATTCCCGTACAAAACACTTTGAACTTGATCTTCATTTTGTACGTGAGAAAGTTATCAACAAGCTTGTTTCAGTTCATCATGTCCCAGCTGTTCATCAACTTGCCGATGGCCTCACTAAAGCTATATCCAACACTTCTTTCTCTGATTTTCGAACCAAGCTTCGTGTGTCAAAAAGATTGACCACTTCGCTTGAGGGGGGATGACAGTGTATCTGATATAATCAGTTAGGATTGCAACTGATATATTCAGTTATAACTGTTTGATGACAGTTGTATTCTGTTACCAATGCTTAAGCATTTAGTGAGTAGAATAGCTTAGTATATATAGCTGGCACTTGTAATACTCAATAACTAAGTTTTCATTTTCTAAATATACAAGATTACATTTTCAGTTTCTTTCTCTGAATTCTGATACCTTTCACGACCAAACAATTGGGATAAGAAGAACGAAAATCCTAAAACGGATAAGAGAGAATATAATAACTAAAAGATGCCGATTAAATCAATCATCCAGTGTGTGTTTGGATTGACTTATTTTGTATTCAAAACAGCTTGTAATAAAAAATATAAAAAAATAAAACAAGCACCTAATGTATCACATGATGATACCTTGATTATTTCTAGTTTCTACCCACATTAGAACAAAAACTCATCTCACAGATAAATTAAAAACACTGGGATAAAAGCACAGAATGAAGTTACAAACCCAGAAAAAGGATTGGGTCATAAAAAGCAGGTGAGGGGTGAAAATCAAAACCTTTGATACGATGTCTTCAGAAAGAGCTAGATGGGTTCGGCAGTGTTTGCAGCTATACACCTTCCCCTCCAGATGAACCACAAATAATCTCCCCATAGCTCAATTCTGAAAATTCTACGCAACAACTGAAGATCAAGGAAGAATTCAAGAAAAGGGTCAAAGTGAAAATCATCAAACGACGCAGTCAAACCGAAATCACACAAGGGTCATAATTAAAGCGATGAATCAAGACGTAGCGTGAACTAAGCACCGGAAAGAAGAAGACGAAGACGAAGAAGAAGAAGAAGAGAATCGTTGAATCTTACCTGAGTTTGGTTTAGGTAGAAGTGTACGCCAGGAGTTGCAAGAAATGTGGAGAGAGAAGCATTCAATCATTGCCTTTTTTTCTTTTCTTTTCTGTAGAAGCAGAACCCGACAAGACATGTGTTGTGTATTATTATTTATTTGTTACGTTTTGTTTATTCATTTATCCATTTATTCATTATTTTTATTTTTATTTTTATTTTATTTTTTGGTTAAATCATTAAATGCAAGATGGTGACTTTGCTTGCATGACAAGACTTCTTGATGTAATATTTACAACATGTTTTTAACTATATTTATACAGATTATTTGAGACACCATTGACAGAGAAATTACATTAGTTGAGAGTTGGATGGCGCCGATAAGGCGAAGAACGACACGGTGGTGGTGTCAAATCTTAGATTTGAAGTCTTTCAAAGTTCAAACTAGTTTTTAAAGAAAAAGTTTTCCTTTATTGATTACTCAATTAATTTGAAAGATAAGGTAATAATTAAAATACATCTACCAACAAATAAGGTTGAATTGGCTTACTTTATTATATATAAAAATATACAGTAATATTTGTTAATAAAGCCTTTTATATAAGTTATTTATGTTTAATTTTTCTTCTTTATCGGTATATGAAATATGCATGTGGGATCTATTTTTGAAGATATACACTTCCCATCATGTTTAAGATATACACTTCCCACCATATTTATTACTTTTGGGGAAAAAGAAAAAGAAGAGGTCGAAAATTGAGGTTGGTTTGTTACCAAAAAAAGAATATGAAACTTCCTCTAAAAATAATAGGCGTATGGATTGAGGTATATATTAAAAAATGAGAATGTATCAAAGAATTTAAAGGGAATTTACTGTAAAAAGATTTTATATTTCCATTTGATCAAAATTAAGTTATTTTATGCATTATTACAGGTTTTATTCTTTTATTGTTGGAATTTATAACTATATTTTTCTCTTGGTTCTTTCTTGCCCAAGTCGCTTCTAATTGATGAACATGACAATAAGCTGGAATTGGAAATAGAAGTTCATCTATTTGTCGCCCATTTTGATATGTTGGATTAGAAAATATAAAGAAGATTATTTAAATTTCAATATTATTATTTTGTAAAATAAATTTAATATTGATTGATATTAGGATACATTATCAAAGAGAGATACAATGTACGCCACTAGAACTAGGAGTTAATTAATGATAAAGGACTTAAATAATTTGCATAATATTATAGATTCAAACATTTAAAAAAAATAATTGCAATGCTATACCTAAAGCATTTTAAAATGGCTGGGTGACATTTCAAGTTTTCAAAAAGAGCTTTGACAGAGGCATATTCGATCCAAAAAGGAAAAGATATTCGATATTCGTATTAACGTATACAACCACAATACGTCATTGTTCATCTGTAACGGGTAAAATTTAACTGCGTACACAACCTATTTTTCGATATTCGTTTTTTTATGGGTGATTTTTAATTTACTTATACATGAGTTATTTATAAATATTAATATAATCTCTTTACAAGACCTCAGAATAAAGAGGTGGCAAAGCGGACAATCCATCCCATCTCGCCTCCCACCTGCCATAAAATTAGGGACGTTTGTAGTCGGGATTGAATCAGGATAGAAGCAAAAATTATTTTATCCAATATATTCGGTTTAATCATTCATTCGGTTTACTTTTTTTTAATTTAATTCAATCCAATTTTATTCGATTTAAATTGAATCAATTTTTGATTTTTTAAAAAGTCTAAAATTTCAATCATACAAATCACTAGCTATATCAAAATGACATCATACAAAGTTACAAATCATTGAAAAATTCAGATCTACAAATTCAAACAAGTCTTAAAACTCATGAAGAGTTAACATAGAGTAATAGACAATAAAGGGAAAAGTGATGTCATTTTAAATGACACAAGTTGTGTCATTTCATAGACAAAGAGATGAAACCCACAACTTTAACTTTTTGTCTTTGTTTTTTTAGTGTGACCCACACCTCTTTTGTGTCTATGAATGACACAACTTGTGTCATTTAATATGACACATTTTTTCTAACAATAAAAAAATAAAATAAGGTAGTTTGTTATCAACCAAAGTGAGTTCTTCATAAAAAGGAGACACGACGTGAGTCGTGTCAATTTAAGAATAGTCTACTCTAGGCTTCGAAACAAAGGAAGTAATTAAGTAAGAGTTACTAAATTAGGAAAAAGAGCATTAACGAAATTTCAAAAAATAATAAATACATAATACTTTGGGTCGGTTTTCATCAACCAAATCAAAAACTGATCCAATCCAATTAAAACATGAGATTTTTTTTTGTTATTGATTTTTTGATTTGAACACCGCGGTTTTAATCGATTTGGATCAGTTGATGAACATCCTTACTCAAAATGACTTAACTTGTCTTGTTTTGTTTTAAAAAGTGGGTTAAAAATTTTAACCCATTAAACTCACCTCACCCCCGCCAACCTGCAAACATATTAAAAAGTGAATGTTTTCAAAAAATATTTTACTCATAGATGTAAAATATATCAAAATAAAAAAAAAAGTGTAAACAAGGATATTTATGAATATTTTTTAAAAATAAAAATCAACTTGACGGATTAACCCACCCTGCGTTGGGTTCAACATGCTTTGACCCGCCCTTAACCAGGGCAAGTTTAAATAGATTGACGAGTTGAAAATCTCAACTTAACCCACTGTTTGCGACGAGTTAAATGAATCAACTTAATGGTTGGACATGTTTTACCACTTTTACGACTACATGTGATCTACATTGATGTCCAACCTATTTTCGCATGCACCTTTTATTGGGAAAAAAAAAGTATAGAACATATGTTAGAGTACATAGTATTTTAAAGGATTTATTGTCTTTTATTTTGTAAGAGATAAACTTTACCTCCTATACACACAAAAGTGTATGAGACCTCTATTTTTTTTTATCTCTTCTCTTCATATAATTTCACATGGCCCCTTGTACTTTGATGTGTGTGTAAGATAATATGAAAAATATCAAAACCTTAATTTAAACGATAATAACACATTTTATTTGAATATATTTGTATTGTCTTTTGTATACATTATATACAACGTACCAATAGAAATGCAGGTCATCTTTACTAATTATTAATTATGTGATTTATTCGGGTCAGATTTGATTGGATTTATATTATAAGGATAATTTTTTAATGTCATTTTTTTCATTTTATGTCCTTGAAATCGATACTTATAATTAGAGAAAATAAATTTATTCCACTTAAATCAACTATTGTTAGTGCATGTATTTTTTCAATAATGCAGCTATAACAATTTTCAATATATGCTGTGAAAAAAGCTATAGAGTAATAGTTTTATCTTGTTATAGCAGAAAATTATTCTTTCATGCATATATAATAATTAATAGGTGGATTTCACCGTGATTTTTTTTTTCTCTAACCACTTTTATGGGGTGTTTGACGGGTACGGTGTTTCTATTACTTAAAATTACGACATTGGAATTCGGTTGAAAGGAATTACGGTTTGGGGTCTTTGAGTGCCGCGAGAGGTACCCAGAGATTCTAAATGACGCCCCCCTCCCTGCGGCACTTTTGTGTGAATTTTTTTTTTTTTCCGGACATAGTGCCACCCGCAGCCCCCATCGGCACTCAATAATAATATTTTATAAGTGCCGCCCACACCCTCCAACGGAACTGATACTATTTTGTTATTGTTATTTTTTATAAGTGTCGGCCATCCCCGCTTAAACTAATATTGTATTTTTTTATATCCATTTTAGAGTGCCGTCCGGCACCCCCCTTGGAACTCTTACAGCAGGCCCCAAGTGGCATATCCCCTACCGTTGATCCCCCACCTTATCTTACTTTTTTCATCTCTGTGATCGCTTTTTATTTATAGTAAAAATCCAGCCAGATCTACATTTTTCTCTCTCTCTTTTTTGCCATTTGCAGCTTCCTTGGATTTGTTGTTTTGCAGAGCACACCAATTGCAACAAATGCATTGAAAGCTCTCTTAAAAATGCCACTGTTCAGAGGTTACTGCTGGCTGTACAAGCACAAAAATAATCCTTATGCTTCAATTTGAAACAGTACTAAGCCATTCACTACACCACCAGAACTTAAATAGATAAACGCCGCTTCTAACTAAGTCATATTCCTCCTAGGCGATTCCAGTATACACAAAAATCTCCTAAATCATTATGGAATTGTATACGCATGGAGATTGAATATTCCAATTTTGAGTTTAGATTAAAGCTACAGTTCCCATTAAAGCTCCAGCCCAAAAATTTGATCCTTATTTTGATTCTTACAGTTCCCATTAAAGCTACAGCCCAAAAATTTGATTCATGAAATTGATACCATAACCATAAAGTATTTTAATCAAGAATGTACTTTATGTGATACACATAAATTTTAAACGAAATCGAAAACAAATATAGCACCTAAGGAAAAACAATTATGTTTACTAATTCAAAATCAAACAAGATCCAGTCCACACACAAAAAATATTTTGAAAATATACAAAAATGATTGTTACATATACTTGTAGATCTAGGAAGAAAAATAGATAAAGCAAATTACTTTTCAACTTCAAACTCAAGAAGAGTAACATCTCAAAGTGAGCAGTACCTGTGATTCTTCTGCGAAAGAAACTCACTGCTCTACTGGTGGCTCCGATGAACGGCGAAGGTGGTTGACGGTCTGTTGGTGGTTCACGGCGAAGGTGGACGAAGGAATGAGTGCTCCTTTTGTCCTCCGATCGGAGACCCCCTCGATTCTGGCTCCTGCTCCTTTGTGCACCTTTTTCTTTCAAACTCAGCTTCGTTTTCACTTCGACGAGTAGATCACATTAGTAGAAGTTGAGAGGAAAAGGTGAAATTTTTATCGATTTTAAAAACTCAACTTCATCTATTAATTTTTTCCATTCGAAGGAGGGGGGAGGGTGAAGCCTCTAAGCAAAACCACACCCTAATTGCAAATTGGGTAAATATAAATGCCACACGACGCACCCAGAAATCATGAATAAGGAAAAAAAGCATGAAAATATAAAAAAGGTTATAACAGAAGTAAATGAAATTGGGGGTTTAAAAAAAAAAAGTCATTACACACTTAATTAAAAAAAACCGTAGGGG